TCAATTCAGTATATACAATATGAACATATGTACAAAACCACACACCAAGCACATTAGACTGCTCATTGATGCGCTACCCTTTGAAGAATTGTAGGACTTACAGCAGTACGCCTACAACCCTTCTCAGGTTGACGCTCTAGGTTGGAAAACTTAATCTAACCGTTAGTATGTAACACTATAAAACTCAATGACTAGAAATTCCTAGTAATAAAAAAAGGAGAATAAACCCTGCGGTCATCGCATATTGTTTGCTTAAATTATTATTATCTGCTGGCTGCTCCTGTTTTCTTCACTTCTCGAAGGTATTGCCCTGAAGCACTGCTAATGGACAGTAATCCTGCTTTCTACATTTGTATTACTTGACCGGTATCCAGAATATTGTTAGCACTTACGATGAACAACGGAACAAACTCCATTCTGAATTCTTTTCAACATCGCAAAGTTAACTTTGCGACCAATTGGTCCTTTTTATCTGCTAATACCAATATAATGCTGTACTTACCATCTAATGTGGATTTTTATAGACTTTCGAACCCTTATTGATTGATAAAATGATAATAACGGTCTGCATCCAGTGTGTCTTACTCTAGCACCTGTATATTACCCCTATACTCACCTTCCATTAACGCAAAATTTCATAATTCCCGCATGAATCTGACTCACTATGAGTATATTAAATACTATAATTTAGACAAACCAAAATCTTATGCTCTATTCTTATAAAGTTTCTAGAGGTCATTTTCCAATTTTTAATTTCATAAAACAGTGTTCAATTTCGGACTGCACTTGTCTAATATGATCATGCCTGTACAAACGGAATGTGAATCATGTAAATGCTTAATTTATGTGAAATATATTATTATTAAAATCGTCGCAGAGTTCATTTGCTGACATCCTTCTGTTAGCTATATCCTCAAATCTGAAGGATAACACGCTCATGTAATTGTATCGTCGAATATAGATGACCAACAAACACACGACATATCTCATCAACCAAGCGTAGGCACAGATTAGTTTACACCAAAGATAATAACGTTCAAATAGTAACTTGAAACTAGAAATGCCTTTATTCGTGCAAGTCAATTTAACAATTACTCTCTCGTTTACACTTGGCTTATTCTCACTAAACTGACCAATATCTTTCGTCTCTTCAAGTGCACCAATACTATCATAGTCATTGCAGAAGATACTTGAGTTGATGGGCGTCCTTCTCATTGTGGATGACAACACCAACGACAACTGATTGATACCAGTTGATGAACACAGCGGTGGATCATAAGCTGTTGTTGTTCGACTTTCAGAAATTTGTCTAAATGCAAGATTACCACCACTGCTGTCTTTTACTAGCAGCTCCGCTTTAGCACTAGCATCTGATGATAGGTGGGCTTCACGCTGATCAATTACGCTGACGGTCTCACAAGTATCCATAACTTCTGCATCTGCATATGCACTCAATTCTACTTCACGTTGTAGTTGTACAGAGCCTTTATTCAACTTAGCAGTAGTAGGCATTCCCCTCATTTCATCATGATCAACCAAAGACAAATGTGAAGTATCATGATCATTATCATAAATATTCAATTTACCATCATTTATCTGGTCGACTTCATCAATTTCAAACTCTTTAATAACAGAAGGAGACAATTTTGGTTCCTCCTCGCAAATCATTTAAGGTTTTATATCTTCACTCTGACTAGTTATACTTTGTAAACTTGTGGAGTCTGAACTGCACTCTGAAGCAGTAACTCTATTCTGTGACGCTCTATTCAACAACGGCTTACCAGTTGCAACTACAGACTTCTTCACCGCACAGTTATCGTCACACATTTCGGAGTCAGGCCTGGATTTCACATTTAGCTTATCACTGAACTTGCTCACTGATTCACAGCTCACCTTTGTATGCACCTCTTGCAAACGTGTACAACAAAACCGTGTTTGTCTTGCATCTTGCAACTTATCTGTTGAGGATGTACTACGAAACCTGTTACACTCACTAGACCTATATGCATTACTAGATATCATGGAGCCTTCTCGATATCCACCTCTCCGAGGCCCTTTCGCCATCAATGATTGCGTTTTACCCTCAGACTGCTCTATTCTAGGGGTGAGATTCAATATACTGGCGAACTTGCTCATAGATTGATTGACACTATCTTTTACCAGTTTCAGGATATCATGAAATTTTGGCTCGATACCCTCATCTTCCATATGGGAGCTTATCTTCACCCACTTCCTTTGCAGTCGAGTAGGTAGGCGTCTTGCTATTACATCTAGTATAAAACTCGAGTTGAGGTCACTCATGCGATTCATCGAAATCATTGCATTCTTGTAAATTAGCAAATTATCCAAAAACTCAGTGAGTGCCTTGGAGTCATCTTGAAGTTGACTGCCGTTACCTTTGACAGCTTCGTATACGTTCCCTACAATCATTGAAGGTCTTCCAAGTCTTTGACGTAGTATGCTCATAGCCTCGTAGTAGCCCTCTTTTGGCTTCATAAACTTACAGCACTGTATAGCTCTTGAAGCATCTCCAGTGCAATATCTCATCAAATACATTAACTTCAATTCATCACTTAATAAAATACTACTCAGCATGATCTCAAACTCCTTTACAAATTGTAAATAATCAGCTGGGTTTCCGTCGAAACAAAGCGGTTCAAATTTAGGGAGTTTGATGTTCCTATTATCCCTGAACGGCGAAACAGTAACATCAACCATGTCATGCTTAACATCAGACACATCGTTACAATTAACAGACAAGTCACCATGACTTACTTTCCTGTTTGCATCCAAGACGCTCTGTCCCTTCTTTGACCCAGGCATTGTTGAACTTGACCCAATTCCAAAAAGTTCCAGATATTGCTTGTTCAAAGAGGACTTGACCGGTACCAGGAAAGATTAACGGTGACTATCCAAAGTCGTGTCAACTGTCCAAAACCGTCAAAATCTGACGCCGTACCGTCGGAAACTGTCAGCCCCGTCTCGCAAACCGTCAATGGCCTGCTCTTGCTACGCTGGGCCTCACGCTGTTCCTCGAGGCTTCTCAGAAACGCTTAGTAATAACGGGCGCAAAAAGCAGAACAGGGATTGGTGACTCGAGGATTCTTTATTCTAACACCAACATATAGCCAACTTTACAACTAAGGTCTATGACCAAGTATTACAATAATAAATCACGATATTACTTCTGACGGTTTTGTCCTGACTTCTTTCTGAACAGCGACCGATGAGACGATGACTGGCTGATTGATGCCTCCGCGAAAATTGAGGAAGTTGGGTTTGAGCAAACAACCATGAATTGATCGTTCAATTTTCACTTATATTGGCAACCTTAACTATTCTTAATTTCAGCTGCAATTTATGTGTTGATACGTGATTGAACTGTGACGCAAGACAAGTAATGCAGTTTGTTGGATAGGGGACGGTTAACTACTGCTTAAAAAACTACAACCTCGCTCCAGATGTTTTCGACTAGATGTAACGCTGGTGATAGAGATGTAGCTATCCATTCTGCTAGACATGAGCTCTAAAAACACAACCTTCTGACTCTTTAGCCGGGCCCACCTGACCAGGTGACTGGGCTTTTTTTAACACCGACGCAATCAGAAAACAGAGAATACAAATTGATGATGATTTGAAAAGAATGAGAAATTATACAAAACAACACAACGAAATCTTGTCGAGATCTTGTCCCTTGAAAATTTAATAATCCACCTTGTGTTTGAGCCTGCGTGGACATCGAATTATTGAAAAAACGATTGACTTCCAAACTTCTTTGATCCCCTACAAATCTTTTTTCACTGCAACTACACCAAACACATGCAGTTAGAGTAGCCAACACCTATACAGCAGATACAAAAGGCATTATAAGAGGTAAAATCTAGGCATTCAAAGAAGCTTAGCCGCGTTGAAGATGTGATCTGAATACCTGAATATACTAAGGAGCAAAATTACTTGCTCCAGATGCCATAGAGCCTAAATATTTCTGTATTGCTCTCTCGTGTGAGAAATGACGTATTCCTTTACGAAGTACAGGGCGCAATATAAAGGCTCTTCTTCTTGGCAGTTCACTGAGATGTTTGATTATCTGGAACATGTGTGGAGACATGCAGCCATGAGGCTACCAGAATCGATACTGTAACCAAGCCCATTGCACCGCCTTCATTTGAAACACTAATCAACACACCGTGTGCGGATTAAAGCATTTTTGCTATTGGGTCATATAATGACCGTAATCATGTCTTTATTCGTAACTTTTGACGACATAAATAATCCTTATTCGATTGCATGGAGGATTTCATCATGAGCTGACATCAGTTAGAGAGCCATTGGAAAACCTGGCTGTTTCTTCCTGGTTTTGGACTATTTAGCAGTACACAGCCACCGGGGTTGGAACCCAGGACCTTCTGGTTACAAGGCGAGCTCGTAGACCATTGAGACATTGGGACCCGATCCAATGGTCCTTGAATTCTAACTTCTGCCAATTCACGAAATAGCGCGACCATTTCGCAGCGTCTTCCTTGATGAGTTACTGTCTCATCTTAAACCCATTGTACTCTACTATTTATTTTTTATTTTTATTTTTGATTACAGCTTGATTCCATACCGTATTTTTGGTACAAGTATGGAATTTTCAGCGTGGTTATCGGTAGCCCAAATTTCGCAGGCCGACCATAGATATCAGATGTGCGTCATATTTGTTTTTATTCATTTATTTATTCATGAATGGTGAAAATGTCAAATGTCCGGGGAGCAGGCGATATATCTGAGAAATCATTTCGGTTGTAGTTGTACTGTGCTACTAGAGACATATAGCTATATAAAGCAAGGTTGGGTTCGTAACTTTAGATACTGACAATAAGATTTAAAATATACAGAAAGTGAAGTTTATTGGAACATAATTAAGCAGCTTTCCGATCCTGAATGCTTAAGTTCGAAATAGCTATTTTCAAATAATTTCATTATACGTCTGCGAAATTCTTTGAATAATACAATGATAGCGTTACTGGCATTCTGACCTGTAGATCAATAAGGATATGATGTTACTCCATGCTATACTAATGGTAATTTACGTTGTTCAAATATACACTCATCCAAACAAAAAGTGAAAATCTCCAACTACTTTGTGTTGTTGTAATCTCTCAGTCTGTTATTGTTCAGTAATTTTCCCGTAGTCTGTTTAATCTTCTCTCTGTTTGTATAATATTAGCGTTACACCTGTGTTAAGAATTTCAATTGGCGCCACAGTTAAATTTGCAGCTTAGCACGCTGATTGCAGGCAGTGACAATGGTCAGGCTTAACGTGCTCGCTGATGCTTTGAAATCCATTTGCAATGCAGAGAGGCGCAAAAAGCGTCAGGTCTTAATCCGACCATCATCCAAAGTCATAGTACGCTTCTTAAGAGTGATGCAGAGGAAAGGTTACATCGGAGAATTCGAAATCGTCGATGACCATCGTTCTGGGAAGATTGTTGTACAGCTCAATGGACGTCTCAACAAATGTGGTGTAATTAGTCCTCGATTCGACATGGGTGTCCGTGACACTGAAAGATGGACAAGAAATTTGCTTCCTTCTCGTCAATTCGGGTAAGATTCTCGCTTATTAAAACATAATTTTTTCAGTTATCTTGTTCTTACTACAAGCTCTGGTATAATGGACCACGAAGAAGCCCACAGAAAACATCTTGGTGGTAAACTACTGGGATTCTTCTTTTAAATAAAGTTTAACTTGCGGATATTGTCTTATATTAAAGTCGTTGATTTTGTCGTAGTATGTCAATCGACATCATATAAGGCTGTTTTTACGCACATAGCATAGGTAAAATTAATTTGAGTGTCAGTCAGAACCGTAATATTTCAACAAGTATGTTGAATGGAGGTATATTACTGCAGTTATCTAAGTGGTGTCTAAAATACTGTTTGCTGTCAATAAAGAATGACTGAATATTAGTCTGCAGTGACACGGCACTACACACTCACTAGGACAGTAGTGGTTTCTGCCATCATCATTCGGTGAGGATAATTAGCTGCCATAACAGTTATGTGCTTTTCATCATAAATGCAGATGTGTGGTCGCTTCTCATGTGTATTGACGATATGGTCTGTCTAGGGTTCTGTGTAAATGTATGTAAATAATTGGTCTCTTTACTATAAGAAGCACCTAAAATATAAGTATCATCCTAGTCTGGTAGCAACATTCACGACGAGGTAAGTCGAGGTCTATGTGTAGTCGAAAATTTGTTGATAGAAAGGCGAGTGAGGTCTACGCTACTAAGATCGTATGTTCTTGAAGTCTTAAGTAAATCAGTTGGTGGCAATTTATGAACTTCTTTTGCCTTTTTTCGGAGCTGCTACATTAACGTTTTGACAGTATGTGTCCAACACAACTTTCGCCGAACCTTGACCACTATGCAGCCAATTGTTTTTGACTTTTGATGGAAGATTTATTTCACTTTCGATTCTGGATAAGGGGGAAGATGAGAAAAATAGGTTGAGTGCGTGAAGTCATCTCAATTTCTTTTACAGGTATTTTTACTTTTATCAAGGATTATGAAGTGTTTTTGTTGTTGTTGCAGACGATGGGGGAGTTAAATGATAATTCAGACGTTATTGTTGTACTTATACTTAAAACTAGGTCATAAGATTCCTCATCATTCCTAAGTCGAATTAGTATGTGTTCTTCTCGAGGGTTATCAACTTGTCTCACACAAACCGTACGTTTTGAATCTATATGCAGCCGTGATGTGAATTTTTACTCTGATATTCAGCATTAAATTATGCTCATATCCACCAGAGATAGATTAACTTTCCTGGTTTAAAAGAATAACGACAAGCTACAAACGCATATATTGGACTACAGGATTTTATTTCCGACATATTCCTGATAGGTTGACTAATATCTGCATAGAATAGTGGGGAGTTCATTACTGTATGTGTAGTCATGTTGGATGTCTGTCTGTCTGTTTTCGACATAGAACTTTGCACAAATGTGCGGAAGTTCAAGTCGCCACATTCCGTGTAGCACGCGAAGCAAGAGAAGAAAGTACAAGAAAAGCATAATAGAAACAGTGAGCAGAGGTGTGAGACAAAGGAGTAATAAAGAAATACAAAACAGTTTCATTGAAGATCATAAGTCACAGGGAGTGGATGCATCTGCGCCACTGAGAACGATTTTGAGCCATGTCACCAATTGTTTCCAACCATAGATTTTTACCGTCCCGAGGACCCCAGCCTGGAAGTCTACACCTTCCTACGTGGCTTAGACCAACTGTTGTGGATTTCATTGACTGATGCCAAGTTTTTGTTTGACCGCCGCTAGCTTTTTTCCAGCCTGACCCTATATCCGCTAACATAGCTCGTCGAGGGAGGCGATGGCTTGGCATACGTAACACATGTCCTAACCATCTCAGTCTTTGTAGCTTCACGACTTCGTCGATTGATTTCCCCTGTTTACCTAGAACTCTACGCCTAACCTCCATGTTGCTCACCTTATTATGCCACTTTACACGGGAAATAGAACGCAGGCACCTATGATCAAAGACAGCTAGTCTTTTCATGTCTTCCACTCTCAGTGGCCAGGTCTCACAACCATAAAGGAGGACGGAGCGGACTGATGAGCAGTACACCCGCCCTTTGGTCGATAGTCGAACATCTCGTCTACGCCAGAGTCGGCGTAAACTAACAAATGCGAAACGAGCCCCTTGTATTCGTGCTGAGATTTCGTCAGAGATCAGCCCGTTGGGGCTGATGGTACTTCCCAAATAAGTGAAGCGGTCAACGTGCTCTACCACTTCACTTCCTATTTTTAAACTAGGCGTCGATGTAGTCCAGTCCTGTAACATCATCTTGCATTTGGCGGGAGCGAATCGCATGCCAAACATTCGTAGATTGGGGCTCAAGGTGTTTAGAAGACTCTGCATTTCGTCAGCGTCTTCGCCTAGAAGGACTATATCGTCTGCATATTCCAAGTCAACGAGATTATTCCCCGGTAGCAAGTCAATCCCTGAGTCGCTGAAGTCACCTAGGGTTAAGTCCATTAACACATCTATGATGAAGTTGAATAGAAAAGGAGATAATGGGCATCCTTGACGGACACCACTGGTCGTCATCAGTTCAGATGACAGCTCGCCGTAAGCCCTCACCTGGCTGTATGAGTACGAGTAGAGTGCCTTAATCAGTGCAATATATTTTCTTGGAATTCCCTTTACAGCCAAGCATCTCCAGAGAACTTCCCGATCGACAGAGTCGAATGCTGCCTTTAGGTCAAGAAATATAATGACTGTTGGACGCCGGTAGGAATGCCTATGTTCTAGAATCTGTCGGAGGGTGAAGATATGATCAATACACCCTCTTCCTGGTCTAAAGCCTGCCTGGCTCTCTCGTGTTTGTGCTTCCCGAGCACCACTCAGTCTACGCATGATTATTGAGCCTAAGACTTTAGATACTATATTAGTCAAGCTAATCCCTCTGTGATTATCACAGGAAGACTTGTCTCCCTTCTTGTATATGGGGATAATCAGTGACTTACACCAACCCGATGGGACTTCTTCTGATTCCCAAACGCTGCCTAGTACCTCAGTTAATCCGGACAGTAAGCTGTCTCCACCGTACTTAAATACCTCTGGAGTCATGTTGGATAGATAAATTGTGTGGCTGTCACCTTTATAAAAGTGACAGGCGTTTTGAAAAGCAAGTAGATGCTTGGGTTAGCCGTGTTTCTTAATTGTCTTCCTCCAATAATCCATGGTTTCTTTTGTATAACCTCCTGCTCTGCTTCTTGCATTGGAGTTATGCATGTGTATGGGAACGTTAGCTACAAATCAAAGTTCTAGTAGACAATTAAGTGAATTGTATATGACTGTGTGATACGATACATGTGAAAGATGAATATTAGCGACTTCATGATATTCAGGTTATAGCGTTTTTACGATTTATGGGTAGCTATGATCTACTGTGGAATGAATTAATCGAAGGCATTGGCAAATATTTTACTGATAATTTGAGTGTAGTCCATAACGGCTTGGTTTATATCTCGGTAAGATGTTGCTGCTCGATCGAATTGCCATCTTGATAACTTCCGGACAGATAAAAGGCGCTTCATATTGTTATTACCCAAGGAATTAACTTAAGCTTACATCAAATCGAAGATTTTTTATTTGAATCGCCCAGGGTCAAAAAGTTGGCAGGTAGCTCGTCTTTTTAATCGCCTTGAAATACTTTGCTACATAATTATAGAAACGGAATGGCTTTCCTGTGAAAAGTTGTAAGACGTTGACGTCACCACTTCTACTCATACTATTCAATGCATTGGGGTGTAAGTCAAGTAGACTTGGAGGGAAATGACTTCATGTGGCTAAGGGTCATTCCTAAGGCTTTCCCAAATTATCCTTAGTTCACGCAACGTTGGTCGCCTGAGACTTTTAGGAGGGTGTAAGTGCTGTTGGCTCATATATCGATTTATTGCTTCTTTCAGAGTGTGAATGCGCAAAACTTTTGTTAGTGAGATTTAAATAGTAGCCTTGGTACTCAAAACGGTTGAAACGATCAAAATTGAATTAACAAGTTGATTTGTAAGGACAAGACACTTATATTTGCAAGTGATACATTTGTTGACAATAGTCAGAATTCAACTGCTACGCATAAGACAGACGTAATCGATTCTTGTGGGTTTTGATTGTCAACCGTCGTAGTCTTCAAAAATTTGACTAGTAACCAAGACTGTTAGGAGACAACTGCACAGTGCTGTCTAGCATGAGATTGGCATCTAGGGGATGATGTAATTTACTTTGAAACAGGTTATGCTCTTGGTAGGATGGCCGACGGCCACGCAGGTGGTCCGTAGACGAAACACATATACTCTACCTAGTCTGTTAGCCCATAGCGAGCCCGGAAAAAGCGGGGAGGTTTTTCGTGTCGATGCTAACCCCACCCTGTAAAATGAAATACGATACCGCTGCCTTGAAGACCTAAGTGCGGATTGGAATGGGAAAAGTGCTTTACGCTGGGAGCAATTCATGAACTTTAGAAGACAGGAAGGTCATGATTCGTATTCTGTTTATATACACTTAACTTTTACATTCTGTTTGCTGTCTTTGATGTTGTTTTGAAGATTCTTTGATAGACTCGTTAATGGGAGGAAAATAAATCATAATTAAATGTGAGAACGGTTAGAGATATTATGACTGCAAATCCAAGTCCGTGTTTATGGAGCTACAACAGAACACAGTAGGAGACGTTGTGTCCCTATATGAATAGGTGTTATTCACCTTTTAATTCACGGAGTTAAAGTTCAGACCCTGTTAACTTGGTAAGAAGTTGCAACACCGTGGTTGCGGTTAGCAACGTGCTGCACCAATTTGAACATAGATGCACTGTACCCAAATACTGTGAGCCCCGCGCTATCATAAATACTGTTTTGTAATAAGGCGAATCATTAATATTATTAATATACTAATAAAACTACATAGTTTGCTAAAGGATGTGGAACTACTACAATTTCTGTGTGCTAGTTATTGGGTTTCTGTCAGCTTAAACCTTGAAAAATATTGCAGTTTATGTAGGGTAAAGATAAGATAAATGCAACCATACAGGTGTTGTCTGAGCTGTTTAACAATCCCAGTCATTTGATATCATTATATACCAAAATGGTGACTTAACTCAGTGAGTCTGTTAGTTGTTTATATTATTAAACAGCGATTCTGAATCAAATGTGTCGATATGCAATGAGAAGTTAAGAAGTCTAAATACCGACAACCACCTTCAAGTCATGTTCTTTGCACCTAAGCAGCATAGTAAATGACATAATATTAAATCGTAATGCAAACCAGCTGACAAAAAACGGATCAATAATTAAGTATCAAACAACACAGAAACTAGAATCATATTCACCACTTGCGAATGCTGTACAGTTCCAGGTTGTCAGTCTCCTTTGGAAACCAAAAATATTCTCCTTGATACCATAAATATCAATCAAAAAAGCAAACATAGATGATATATACCACTGGTTGGAATAAGTTGTAAGAAAACACTCACGTCACTCAGTGGTGCTTGCTAGCCAGACCGTAATGTAAACACCATATGGTTGTTTCGCCCGTATAAAACTGAGTTTATCAGCTGTGTACTAGGTTTGATGACTAAGGTCAGACAGTCGAATCACTTGAAACCACCAACATGCAGTTATGCCTACTCACTCGATCGCAGCTAATGGCATCAAGCAGAAAACATGTATAGTCCGAGTGTTTTGCATTCCTGAAGGAGACCGTATTCAATTTTCACCTTGAATTGTGTACAGTTTGTAAATGGTGAATTTGATTCCGCGAATTACCAATCCACCGACATGTTCAGTCAGCCAAATCCTACCTGATAGTATATGTCATCAAAATACAGGAGTTAATTTAGGCGTCCATTTTTTTTTTAAAGCCAATCGTATTTCTAATATCTATAACAGGAGTCAACCCGCAATATACAATGCTTCTAGAAACACTGACAAAAATGATACTGTCATTTTCATCCAAAAAAAGCAAACAAGGTGGAAATATATATTGTGTATTTGTTTTGACGAATTTGCAAACTCATAGACATTCATGCAAACATTTTGTTAGACTGCATACATCTGACAATTCATTGCAATAGAATAATAAATAAGTATTGTACAATAGGTAGTTAAACGATAGATAGGGGAGCATAAAGAAGATCATTGACAACATATTATTACGTAACCAACTAGTGAATGTTCTTGAGAAATTAGTAAAAGCTGTTGAGGACTAGCTGTCACATAGAATTACTAGGGAAATATACTTTGTACAAATTTTTCTGTTTGTTTACAGGGTAAAAACAGCGATATCTGTTGACTTTCCATCTGTATATGGATATGGTCTTCCATGAACTTTGCATATATGTTCCACAGCACGACGATAAGCCTTCGTTACCTAATAAAAATGACATAAATAAAAAAAATTAAAAATCTCGATAACTGCAGTAAACGAATCAGCAGTTTCTAGAGACTGGTATTAATTCGTTTACATCTCAGATCAGCCTTCTTCACAAGGTAGATTGCTTAATAAATTAAGATTTACGATCTCGACTTTTAATTTTCACCTCTAAAGCCACTTATGATAAATTAAGATTTTCAAAAGTTAGTTTTTAGGGGTCTGATGTTTCATGTTTAATTAGGGATTGCTATCAGTTAGCGAACCAGTGGAGACTAGGGAGTACTGGACGGCTGTTTCATCCTTGTTTGGGATTCTTTAGCAGTACACACCCATATTGGGCGAACAGGGAAAATCAATCGACGAGGCCATAAAGTTACATAGATTGAGATGGCTAGGTCACGTGCTGCGCATGCCTAACAATCGCCTTTCCCGACGGGCACTACAAGCTGATATAGGTGCAGGTTGGAAAAGAGTAAGTGGTGGCCAAACAAACACATGGCATCAATCCATGAAATCCTTGACAGTTAAACTGAGTCAGGTAGGGAGATGCAGACTTCCGGATTGGGACCCTCGGGACTCCAGGAATCAATGACTGGAGACAATAGTTGTCAATGGCCAGCGCAGATGTATTCAGTCTCTGTGATCTTTCATATTTCTTTATACCATTACCCATTCTGTTTCACTCTTATACTTGTGAAACTCTATTGATTCTCTTCACTCATCTTCTTGTCTACCTTTGTGTGGTATTTGGAACGTGGCAACTCGAACTGGTGCACTTCGGTGCCAAGTTCTATGTTGAATCCAGATAAACGTACTCGCCTGTGATACTGTCTACAGGTGGTGCTAAAATCGCGAAGTTAATAATTACTGATACCACGTTGTACAAGAGATGGCTCTTGTGGTCTAGTGAAGAAGGCGTTCGAAAGGATGAGTGAGGAGTTCGAGTTCCCCAGCAAGAACACCATCACTCGTTGGGGATGCGAGTACATACAGCTGATGAAATGTGTATTCTGCATTTCACCGCTAGTCACCACGGAGCTAGATAACTTCATAATAATACTTCGTTTGTTTGCACTTAGTGGCTCGGAAGAGCTGTTTCATGTAACAGGTTATGAGCCATACATATTGTGTGACGGCTGATGTCGGTATTCTGTTTTCCAGACTCGATGGGTGAGGATTCCCTCACACTTAAGGGGAGGAGGGCACTGGCTGTAAGTCAAGCACTTCCGCCAATGGACCACACAGTGGGGTTCATACAGTCTTCCAGTTATACAATGAGAAGTTCTCACCTTATTTCTTTCATTCATGGATCTATTTGATAAGGAGTAAAACAGCTGAAAAAACCTAACACTTTTTACGCTCTTACTTGTAATACAATTTTTTGACACTAGTTACATGAACGATCCAAATAGAAAATATTGATTTTTATTCAAAATGCATATCAACTTCTGGTTTAAGCGAACGATGCCGTATTGTGGCGTGTGCTACTGATACGATTTATCAGTAGTATATGAAGAGACGTTCGGCAGCATAAAAACATCAAATAGCAGGGAGATAGATTTCATGTCAGAGAAAGCGAATGATACAGCATTGTAGAGATACATGGGAGACGTCAAAGAAACACAACATGAATGCCAGAAGTAGCACAACACGGAAGATCTGTGCAAATGGTGCTTTGAAGATAAAGTGTACATAATTCGGGCATATAAATATACCAAATTGCAAAGAAACATTCTTTTACCAAGTCCTTCGTCTTCTACCGTTACAATATGAATTGTATTATCATTGCAATTTAAGGACTCATAAATGGTCTGCTGAAACAGGATCTATGCAAACCGAACTCTATCTAATTCAGCATCTACAGATTCACAATGCTTACACAGCAAATATGTAACACTCCACAAATCAGCTATCGTTACGATCATCAATTTACAGTAAATTACTCAGAATTGTAAGAGTTTTTTTTGATTTAGCCCATTTGATTTTCGACCAGTAATGAAGGGTTGGAATCCAGTTCTATTGATCAAGCTTAAAGGTATAGGTTTAATTAACTAAACAGTATTAATAAACTCAGAATGTATTAAAAACAATCAATAATTTACCGAATGCTTCATTTTACTTCGCCTTCCTTCTCGTAATCGTTCAAAGTCAAGTTCTTTATGTATACCAAGAGGTTGAAGTTTTTGAGGACTAAGCCATTGCCATGTACGCTTCGTATCAAAGAAAAGGACTAATAAAAGTTCACAATCGTTAGTAGCTTTATTAGACGCAAGACGTTCGCCCCATTTAAGGACTGATTCTGGAGGTAGTGGGACAGGAACACCATTATGCGAATAGCCTTCAGTAGCATTTGGATCTACAATCTATTAAACAAAAGAAAATAAAATAAATTCATATTATAACTTTAAATGTCCCCCGTTACAGTAAAACACATAGAAACAACTTCTAACCACACATATCTTCCTATGATTGCATATTTTAAGTGAACTTTTAAAGTCAATCGATGAGGATGTGGATTTTCACCTACCTAAGAGTTTATGAGATTGCTTTTCTTAAAAAAGAAATGTAAGGTGACAAACGATTATGTTGGGAAAAAAGGATCACAATGAACAGACTGAACTAAGATACAGTATCGGATAGTGAAGTATGTGACTGCTTCCATGAACTGTATAGACAGATATATACTTTCAGTGCAGATTTCGTCATGAGCCAACATCAATAGTTAAAGACCATTGAAAACCAAGGAGCACTGGACAGGTTTTTCGTCCTAGTTTAGAACTCTTCAGCAATATGCACTAACGATTGCACTGGCTATCGAAACCAGGAACTTCAGGTTACGAGGAAAAGCTCGCTGATCATTCAGTCGCTTGGGCTGGGAATCAATGACCCGTGAATACTAACTTCTATCACTTCGTGTTATAGCGATACCCTAGACCAAAGCCTTCAATGTACATCCACCTTACCTTAACATGGTAGACTCCACTGGTCACGACTTCTCATTACAGCTTCAAGACATCCACATCCAGTAGCCACCAATGAGGTGGAGATAAATATGTAGATTATGAGAGTGGACTAATTTCAATATGCTGCCCTGTTTGAATCACTATTAAAAAAAGTTTAAAAATCAAAGATAAAGATGTAAAAGTACTTTTCCTAATATCCACATATGTATTTAAATGAGTAGCATTTCACTATCTGAATAATTTGACAGCATTCTGTACCAGTTCAATTTTTATTTCTGTAGGAAAATGTAAAGCTTGACGGATTAAAGTGATGTACATTTTTGTGCAACATTCTACGTTGATTTGTTTCATTTTTCTCAAATTCTTACAAGTTTTAGTGTCTCAAACAAATATACGAGAAAGTAGAGATACTAGACAATGTCTATAACAGTAAACGCAAAGCAAAACAATGAGAGAAAAAAAAAGGATCATATTGTCTATTTTTAAACTTACTATAGCAGGATACCATGGTGATCCCAAGCATTTTGCCCAAACAATATCTAAAGGACTGAATCGATGTTCAGAAAATGTATCATCTCCAATACTACCACGTGATGACACACGTGACAAAGGACTTCGTATCATTTTGGAATTATTATTCGAACAAATGGATAATGCGTCTGTAGAGCAATTTGTTTCAGTATTAGATTCGTTATGTAAAGGTGAATTGGTATGATTTAAATTAGTAACTGGTTGAATACTGTCCAGTCGGATATTATTATGCTTTATACCAAGCTTCGGAAGGAATTTTGTGAACAATGTGTCCGAATTTGATAAGATATGAGAATCAGGCGAAGGAATCGGTGAAGATGGTGGTATATTAGTTTGTGCAGCATTATCATTCCTGAGTTCGTCACTGTTCAGTGTTTTTGTCAGTGATGATTTGTGTTGCTTTTTAGGCTTACTTTTTCTGATATTTACAGAGGCTTTCTTTGCTTTGAACCGATAAACAGATTTCTAAATAATGGAAAGAAATTCCTTTAAATGCAAAGCTTTTAAAAAGTAATTAAATAAATACAAGTAAAAATGGCTAAACTTAGCAATAAGTGTCGTTTTTACAGTTCTACTAATGGGAAACACATGAGAGACGTACAGTGATGTGCACTAGAAGACATTTTCGATAGTCAGAAAAACTTAACGTAGACACAGTTTTGTGGCTAACGAACCATCCTACATCAGCATACATGTTTGTGTTTGGTGAACACCATCTAAGATTCCAATCGATGGTAAATAAAGATAATACAATACAATTACCACAAATAAATGATTATTTAGACTTAACCATATCTATACTACAAAAATAGGGGATAATTCTCTTCGACTTTACTGTAAAAGTTAAAAATTCGGCTTAACACTGATATTTCTTAGAAATATAAGGCTAACAGTAATTTAAAGGGTCGTTTAATTAGCAGTACTAATTGTACAATTTTGTCCTAAGCAATATTTTCCATACAGTACAAAATTCCCAGTGTATTTTATTGCAAACTACTCATTTGTGAAGTTTAAAAGTGAAATAATGATAATAAGTAGTATATCATTTAATCGATCTGAAGCAGTGTCTGAAATCCAATCAGTGGTTTTTGCCTCTTCAAAAAGAGCAAACCGATCATAAGTTGGAACCTATTTAATCAAGACACTATTTGATATTACCATTATTGTTTGTTCCATGTGTTCCAACTAGGATACAGGCCTTCGGTTCCGAAGTTAGGGTTGGTCAAATCGAAACCTGGAATCAATTCATGAAGTCTTTAACTGTTGTTTTGGGCCATAGAAGCAAGTGTGGGCTGCCTGGCGGGAGTGCTATAGAGAAGCTAAGAATCAATGACTTGCAACTTATAGTGATACGGTTCAAAACCGTTCTCAGTGGTGCAGAAGCATTCACTGTTTGTAATTTCCACACAATATTCTATGTTACTTCTATTCTTTCTCCCCTACATTTCTGCTTACTGTAGTTCTTTTGAATTTTTCAATGGCATGGTTATTGAATAAAGAATATTCTTTTCGATAGCTTCATCATCGGGTTGTGCAGTGAGTGAATTAATATTATTAACAACATTAGAGTTGTTTAAATAACATCGAATCAATAATAATAATATCAGTGGATTGCAGTTCGATAGCACCAACATAACAATGCAATGAATATCAGAAAAATTAGGAAAGATAATAATAAAAATTTATGAATTTACAGTCTCCACTGAAGGCCAGGGCAGTAGTAGCGGCTGGAATTGCTTCTTCTGCACACAGAGTCCAGGTTGTTAAAGGCGAATCATGAAAGCCTCAGCTGTTTGGAGTATGAGGTACGTGGATGTTTTCGGCAATTTATTTGGTACCAGGTAGATGATACAGAAGGATTCTTCAATGCTGGCTTTGCGGCCGGTTCGGATCAGGTGGTCTAATATGGAGCTGTTGATGATTTTCACTACATCTTTACCTAGCTAAACTGGCAGATGTTCCCTGGCGAGCACAAAAAATCAAGTTCTTAAAGCAACGGCCAATATAACTCGCTCCACAAGCGCCGTTGAATTCATAGATACAGTTTTTTTTATTTACTCTGAATCTGTATGAGATATGGATTGTAGCGACATGGAGAGTTGTATTTGAGTGCAAAGTTCTACATTGGAACTCTCCCTCATCCCTAAACTTGCTTTGTTCCTGCGTTTAGTGCTGGCTAGTAAACCATCTGATGTTTCAAATATTATATATATATATATATATATATATATATATATATATTGCTCCCTTGTGTTCCTAATGGAACATAGGGCTTCAGCTGCACGTCTCCACTTGCTTCTGTCTTCCTTCTGCTATACTTTTCACCTGCATCCATGTTAGTCCATACTCTTTCGACTCCTCTCCACACGATCCCTCCATGTCACCCTTGCACTGACGTCTCACTAGCCGCTTCCCTTTCGAGTACCACTCGAGGGCTTGGCGCGCGATGTCACCCAGCGAGTGTCCGATCCATCTCCACTTTCGCCTGCATATTTGTTGGGCGATTGGTTCTTGCTTTGTCTGTTCCCATAGTTCCTTGTTGGTGATTATTTCCGGCCATCTGATCTTCAGTATAGAGCCAGCGAAGACAGTTGCTAATAAAGGTCTGCAACAGGCTGTTGGAAATATTTTTTGTGACCCGCCCACCTAGTTTCTGATCCGTATAGAAGAACGGACTTGACGTTTGTATTGAAAATCCGACCGAATTTTGTTGTTGATGCTGAGTGACGAAGACTTCCAGATTGGTTTCAGGTTGATGAATGTGTTTCTGGCCTTCCCGATTCTCCATTTGACATCTTCGTCCGTTCCCCCTGTAGTTGAGACAATACTCCCTAGATAAGTGAATGAAACGACCTCTTTCAAATCCCTCCCATTGATGGTGATTGACGCTGGATGTTGCTGCTGTTGTTGTTGGTTGGTTATTTTCATCACCTCCGTCTTGTCTATGTTCACATGGAGTCCTGTTTTTGCTGCCTCTTCGACCAGTTTGTCGGTTTTCGCTTGTAAGTCTTCAATTTTGTGTGACATCAAACATAAATCATCCGCGAAATCCAGGTCTTCTAGGTTCTTCACATCGGTCCAGGATATCCCTGTCTTCTCATTTCCCACTCACTGTCTGACGCATAATCCAGTTAGTCCACCACAATTAGGAATATCATCGGTGATAATAACCAAGCACCCTTGTCTGACTCCTGTGTTTACTCCAAACGCCTCGCTGAGTTTTCCGTTGTGTTTCAAATATAATCAGTACAAAAATGCAATTTAAGGACGTTATCGAATAATGTCTCATAAAAACAATATAAAATTTAGTGAATCCGATACACTATTACTTTCAACAGGAAATTTATTAAACGAGTGATTCAAACAGGCGACTTTGATTTGAGGCTATTGGTTTGTCGTGTTCCAACCTTTTTGACCTTAGGTGTTGCTTTCTTGTCATAATGTACAAATTTGTAATCTGTAAAAATCTATAACCATTCTGTTTAAAATAAGCCGACTTCGTACTTAATATTGCTCTGGATCCTTTAAAAGTTTCTACTTATTCTCACCGTATTACTTCTGTAACTGGTGTTGTCATAATAATAAATAATAATAATAAAAAGAGCGTTGCAACGATGCGAATTTTCCTTTCCACGAAGTCATCAACTAGGGTGTACATTCATGTATTTATAGCAAATGGGTGAGAAAGTTTCAAAGCTAATTCCAATCAAGGGACAAAATAATAAAATTGCAAATAGGGTCTAAAATGTAACAATAAACAGGAAGATCGGATTAAAACATAGTAGGATCACAATTGTTGAAAAAATCTGACTTTTTTGTGAAATCAGGGATTTCTTATCAATTTTACCATAAACACACCAATGTACAGCTTAGTTGTTGGCTTCATTGTCAAGAAAATTTTCTTCACTGCGACCACTGTTTTAATATTTCCTAATATCTAATGTGTAATAATAAAACTAAAAATGGGCAATGTTAAAATGTAAGCACCAATCACTACTAATGGAATGCGTCCGCATCGTTGTATTCACTGGGTTTTAAAACAGCCTGTGAAAAGTGTAACTGCTGAAACTGAAAATACTCTCGTATCATCAGTTCAGTGGTACCAGCACTGCAGGGATATCACATCCTGGAAAATGGAGAGAAGCTCACCTCCTTATTGGAAGGAGGTGTCGTCAAACATGTAGATGAAGCTGTCTTATCAAAGAAAAAATATAACCGTGGTCGAGGACGAGAGAATAATATTTGGTTGATTGGTTTATATGATATATTTCTACGGAAAGGATTCGTCGAGAGGATAGCAGAGAGAAAGTCAAGTACTTTAATACCTATTATTACTCTACTGGTGAAACAAGGATCTGTGATGCACATAGATGAGTGGAAAGATTATAATTCCTTGTCATCCCTTGAATATATTCACCACAGAATCAACAATTTTAATGATTTTGTGGATCCCATTACAGAGACACTCACCGATTCTATAGAAGGCTTTTGGGGAAGGTTAAAAAACAGAATTAGAGCCATTATTGGATCTCATAAGGATGTCATAGTCATTTAGATGAATATATGTATAGGATGTGGTGTAACTTTTCCGTTGGCACTCCTATGCTAAACTGAGAGATGTTTTTACCACATATAAGTGAAAGTTATCTTTTGAAACACTTTTATATGCATTTTCTATGCATCTTTTCATAAACATCAGTGGCATGGCGGCTAAGACGCTCGCTGACCATGCACATGGTTCGGGGTTCAATCCCCGGCCGAAGCACACCTGATATCAATGGTCGGCCTGCTAAATTTGGGCTACCGATATCACATGCTGAAAATCAAGCTATAATAATAATAATGATCCAAATCCAAAAGTGCCTCCCCGTTTGATTGGTGCGTTCAAGGTCGTTCGCTGATTGGTAGTCAGTGGTGCTTAAAGCTTAACTTTCAGTGTAAGTTCCTGAAACATTAAACACTACCAAATTTTTGCTTAAACAACCCTGCAGTGTCTAATTACAAGATTTCACAGAAAAAAAGAATATTCAGTTAGAAGTGAGTTACCCATTACCGGGATACAAGCTACACATAATGTGTAGGGTCTGATGATACTACAACCCAGTTACCTGGGCCGAAGTAAGTGGACTGAGTTTCAATATAGAACCTAGCACAGAAGCACAGCAGTTCAAGTTGCCATACTCTAATTAGCCTATATAGGTAGGGAGAAGACTATAATGAGCAGCTAAAAAGAATGACAGAGAGAATTAATGCGCAGTACAACATTAAAACAGGTAATTACACTGAGCAGAAATGTGCTGGAAAAAGAATAATAACATAAGGAAAACACGAAGGTTTAGTTGATATGTGAGATCACAGAGAATGAGTGCATCTGCGCTAATGATAACAATTTTGAACCACCAGTAGTCTGTAGACATTGATTCTTAGTATCCCGAGGACTCCAATCAGATATACACCTTCCTGCGTGGCTCATACCAACAGTCAGACACTCCATGGACTGATACCAGGCTTTAGTCTGACCACTAATAACTCTTTTAAACGTAATCCTATGTCTGCTAACATTGCCTGTTGAGAAAGACGGTGGCTGAACATGCGCAACACGTGTCATAGTTATCTCAATCGATTCACCTTTACAATCTCATCAACTGACATTCGAACCCGGGACTTATTTTCTGGAAGCCAAATCTTCACAGACAGCGAAGCAATCAAGAAAGCATTGAAAATATCAGCTGAGGAAATTTCCCCCAACAAAATCTCTACATCCGGTATGACGAAAACTTTCTACACAATTTTAAAAATGCTCTGAAGAGTACCTTGAAAAAAGGCTGTTGTTCCCTATTCAGTCGAAGAATAATAAGGCACCTTTTCCATCCAACACATCAATAACGGATTTAATTAGGTCTTTTCCCGTGGTTATTAGCATGGCCTAGTAAGATTTAAGGTCAGAGAGGTTAAAGTATATATATATATATATATATATATATATATATATATGACATTATCTGAATAAAACCTTAAATAAACTATAAATCTCGATTGTCCATTTTAATTTTCACTTTTCTGAAGTTACATAGCTTTGATTTTATACAACATTCATAATGATCAAAAGCAACTTGTACAGAGCAAAGTGTGCGTCAGTGCTTTAACGGTTGAATGCTCACCAACCACGCAGGTGCTCCGATCTCTGGCCGACGTACTCCTTTAACCTCACTAAACCAGTTATAAGACTGGTAAAGAGGGAAGGTTGGGCACTAGGTTAGCAACCCCATCCTGTAGAAATTAAAACCACTGCTACCTAAATTTCAAGCCCTATTTTCCATTGGGAAAATAAAGGAATAGAAAATAAAAAAATAAAAAAAGAGAAGTAGCAAACATTCCCTGTTTACCTAGAACTCCACAATACAAGATTATAGTAAATAAAAACGAATACAAAGTATTCGTATTCATCATGAGCAGCAATGGATAGTAGTAAATTTAAGCTAGCTATTTTTTTATTACAGCTTGATTCCACACTGTATTTTTGGTACAGTATGAAATTTTCAGCATGAATATCGGTAGCCCAAATTTTGCAGGCCGACCATAGATATCAGGTGTGCGTCGGCAGGGGATCGAACCTCGGACCATTTGCATAGTCGGCGAGAGTCTTGACCACTGTGCCACCGACGCACAAATGATTGAAATTTATATAAGACTCTCCAACCAACGAGTTAAGCAGTTGGGAGATATACAAAATCAGATCAAACAAAAAGAAAGTTTTTTCGAAAAAAGGATATTTGTAAATAATGAAAGGTACATCTAATAATAACAATGAATTTGCTGGAAACGTTTAGATTTGCTAACTTCTCAACTAAATAGAAGTTGTCTTTCAAGAAGTGTATTACGAGCTTTTCACAAATCGGTACCTCTGACTGTGAACCTAACCACTTAGTGATCTCATGGAATAACGGGTTAAACATAGATAATATAGATCTCGTCAGACCATTAGGCTTATGTATCTTTGGGAAACCACACAAACATCGTATTCTTAGAGCATTAAAGGTTGAACTGTCTATTAGTTTCTTTTGTCACATCCTTCTTTGTGCTATCCAATACAAATCGTGATGAATCAATCAGAAATGACTTGAGTTTATATTGATCATACTGACCGACAGAGTTTTCACAGCAAAACCTCTCACAAAAGTGCACCAGTCCAAATGGTTACACTTTATAAAGCATACAAGTGTAGAGAAAAACAATGCAAAGGAAATGTAAAGCGAAAATAAAAGAAAATAGAGAATAATGAGAATTTAATAATTCTGGGAGTTCATGAAGAGTGAATCCATCTGTACCATCGGGAACGGCTTTAAGCCATGTTACCAACAGTCTGAAGACATTGGCTTTAACGTGGACTGATACCACGTTTTGATCTGACCACTAACACTTTTTCAACCAAACCATCCTATGACAGCTAACGTTAGTCGACAGAGAAGGTGTAGATTTGCGTAACATGTGTCTTAGCCACCCAAATATATACAGACAGCTTCACAATCTCGTTGATTGACATTTACTCTCTGCAAAACACACTGTCTAACATCAATATTGCTGATCAAACCATACCAATTAACAGGAGAGATAGAACCCAAACACATAGTCAATGGCCATGTTTCGTGTCCACAGAGAAGAACAGAGACGATCCCTACACAATATCGATAAAGGGATATCCCGTCTACGCCAAAAATGACGTAAGCTAGCAAATCACACACGAACTTTTCGTTCATTATGACGATCTGAAAAACCTTGTCTGGTCACGGTACCATAATTTTCTCATTATTCATTAGATTTTAAAAAAGACACTGTTTGGTTTTCTTTAGATAAAACTTTGGATTACACAACTACACACTAACTGAGGATTGAGAAAATGTAAGCATTTCTAACAAATTCATGGTTTCGTTTGATGTCTTCATTATTTACAAGTATCCTTTGGGAACAAACTACAGTGATTATGTGTCAATATTCTGATTCACTTCTTTAACACAAAAATGACTTGTGAACAACAGTACTATACCAGCAACCATTAGGTTTATTTTAACAGATATCCTCATCTGAACTTGATGAAGACAAAATATAATAATATTATGAGTAGCTGACAATGAATCAACCAACGACCTACTACCGAACAAACATGCTGAAGAAATTGAAGATGAATTGGGCATATATGAAGAGGCTTCCAAGTGACATCACACACCATGTAGATCCATAAGTGAAGCCCGAATGGGAAGCGGAGAGTTGGGCGTCATGGAGTGGGACATGAAGAAGACCGTGTTAAGACCGAATGAAAGCTTGTGGACAGTCGTGGAGACAGCTGAAAGTGACTGCACGAAACCCAGTGCAATGACGATGTGCTGTTGAAGCTTTAAGTTCCTCTCAGAACTTAGGGAGTGAGTAATAAGAACGGAAGCATAAATTAAAACAAGGATTTAATTTAACCTTACAACCACCTCTACACCTGACTGTTTAAAAGTAGAATTATTCCACCAATATACATGAAAAAACTCTACAATAATTACTCTGAAACTCCAGCGTTTTCGATACACGGAACTTACTAGACGACTGATAGTAGAACGTTTATGCGCAAAAGCCATTCGACTTGTACCAACTACAGTAGTAGTGACGACTGTTGTGCCGGGATGGTGTGATTTCGCAACGGCGGATTCGTTCTCTATACTACTATCCTGTTTTAAACGTTGTTGTCTGTAGTGAGAACGATCACACTCCTGATGAGAATTAACAGGAGATGTATGCGTATTGGAATATGTGACACACCCATCATCACTTTCATCTTCATCAGTCTCTTCACTATCATCATCTTCATCTTCATCATCACCACGTGATAAACGACCAATTCGATAACGTGTGAATGCCGGCCCATCACGTGAACTGATTAATCCATTCATTTCATTCGTAGGTTTATTTATGCCAACTTGACGAGTTAATAAACAATCAGAATTGTCAGCTGTTGAATGATTCCATTTACAACTAACTGATTCATTAGTTTTACTTGATCTAATTAAATTTTCAAAACAATTTGTTGAATTAGCATAAGCTTGTGCAAAAGTATTCCCAGGTGAATGTAACTGTAATCGTGCCATTTTCGTAGACTTTCGACCATCTCCATTATGTAAACTAGGCGAAAGTGGGAGTTTTTTATCACTGCTAGTTGAAGAATAACTAAGATAAGGATCGGACGAAAAATAAAATAAAAATTAATTAGCTAATTAATTATTAGTTAAAATGTTTTTACAAATAACAGAATCACATTTATCTAAATCAAAACGATTTCCAGAGTTCCAAAGAAGTTCAATTGAATTTGAGCCTATTAAATACCAAAAAGGGCTTGTTTCAGGCTAGAGAAATTGAGACACTTGATCGATGTGGAGATTAAATCCCACGATCATTACAGATAACACTTCTATTAGCCAACGTTTGGTGAAAAGTGGCAGGGATTTTTTGGAGTACTTGTTTGACGTTTAAATTTTGCCTGAGTGTAGACATCCGCACTTAAATGGGTGGAAAAAAAAATCAAATAGCCCCCAAAAAACCTCAAAAATTACAAATATACACTGAATAAAGCATGTAAAATTCTAGTCGTGAATTGTCTATGCGTTTAACTATTTCAACAACCTTAAGACAAAAGAGGAGGATAGCAAGTTCAGACTGAAGATAAACAATATGTTGCAAGGCTATTCAAATACACTAGAAGAAATGTATGTAAATACTAGTTCACTCATAATCCTGTCTTTTGAATGATGACTTAGAAACATGCCGTTTACTATCAGTTGTGATTTCGTTATATATAACCGAGTTCAATCACAGGTAAAGCATTTTCACACGGCAAAAAATGTCTAAGAGGTATATAATAATTCTAGTACTGTCAAAAAAGCAATTAACAGTTTTCAACAAAAAATACTGTTAATGGGCACTTTTAAGAAAGAGGATAATGACGTTTCTCAAAATGATCCATATGATTTTTGACTGACTTCAAGTTTGACGAGTTAGGGAATCATTGAAAACTAGGCAGTGGTGAACACCTTCCTCTTCCTTGTTGAGCACTCTTCAGAAGCGCGCACCCCACCTGAGATTGAATTCAGGACCTTAAGGTTGTGAGGCTAGCTAGTTGACCATTCAATCACTGACACCTAATTCGATGACCTGCCAAATCTAACTCCTGCCTCTATTCGTGATACACAACGTGACTACTAGCCAGTATCAGTGTCTGTCCTCACACGCAACTTGGTGAACGCCACTGTTTACGACTTCCCTCTAGAACTTAGAGCAATTTCATCCTGTAGTTCGCCACTGCCGAGCACTAGTTTACGTTTCAAGCGTTGATCTGCAAGGGATTTGACTGATTTTAAGTTTGATCATGAACTGGCTTTTCAGCTGAACTCACTTCGTAATGAAACTTGAAATGAATCAAATATATGCTTTTTCTAACGAATAAAAGACATTGTGTCGACGACTGAAAAGATGAAGACCATCCTTATCATTCAGCAAATGGCTTTCCATGATTGAGACAATGATCTACCTATATAATTTCACAGTTGGTGGAAGATACTACTTGGCTGTCTAAACTTTGGTAAATGGAAAAGGAATTTGAACTTATAAATAAATCCCCATATGGAAATCAACTGTCATAGTTCCACTTTGCTATTGTCAACTCCCATTCACCATAAAAAGCAGTTATTCGGAAGTGGTCTCTAAAGATAGGTGGATATTACCTAATGATCAACGATATAATGGAAGTAAGACTGGAATCTGATAAGATAAAAATTGTTATTAAGTGAGAAGCTAGGCAACTGAATGTCTCCACCTGGTAAGTGTGGATGGTGAGAAAAAAACCCAGTAGAATGTAAACAAAGGACATATAACAGTGATAATACAAAATAACTTACTAAAACTACACGCAAACAAGTAAAAAGACGTTCCAAATCATGGTAGGATAGAAGACTTAACAAACTTTATCCGCTTACAGATTTCTGGACTGTATTGAAAAACAATTAGTACCTCCGACATACACAAGTATAGAAATTTAATACTAAATCACCTCACTTCTCATGCGGTAAAAGTCCGCGCATTATTGAATTTCAAATCCCTACTTCCATTGTGTCATTGATTGTTATTGTCCTTAAAAACCATTTCTGTGTAACTGTGCCAATTATGTAACATGATTCGCCGTTACTCAATAATAAACTTAGTCAATATAAATATGATGGTGTAACATTTGAAGATAGTTTCAGAGATATTGAATAGTAGATGCTTTCATAGTCAGAAAATTATTTGAAAGGTAAAAAAGAAAGTAAACATACATACTGAACATACCGACGTTTACGAGGTATAATGGATGAATTCAAACTTTTTGCTGAATTAGGAGGTGATGTACACAGTGAATTTCCATTTTCTGTAATAGGCAACGGTGATGCATGATGTGATGTGGAAGTCGGTGGTATAGTTGAGATTGCTGATGGAGTTGTCGGTGGTGAATTAAAACTTCTCAGTCGACTACGTATATTACTCGGGAGTGAAGAGGTTTGATCACAATTAACTAATTCTTTTAATGGACTATGCAATCGTTCATTTGTTAACGTACCCTTAGCAGTTCGACGTGATGATGATAAATGAAATAATATCGGAGAATTTGTTGATCTTTTTTCATAATTATCATAATTGCTGTCTTCATTGGTTAAAGGCATGGACTGTATACAATTCTCATTTGTTTTGGAGGTATTTTCAATATTATCCTGATGATGAGAAGAAGCCTGTTGTTCCACAATTTCATCACTTTTTACAGGCACATTTTCTAGAAGAAATCCTGTTTTAGGACAGAAGTTGATCTGCTTCGCGGTTGCCAAGGCTACCGAGATAATTGGTTTGCTCTAAAGGAACGAAGAAAAAATTAAAAATTTGAAAAAAGGAAATAAATCTCTGCTTATCTATCCTTTTTAATTCGCTTAGGAAAGGTGGTAAAAATAATAAAGCATTTGATTTCTACATACTTGAGTAGAAAGATATTGGGTATAGCATACAATAGTATAGGACCTAAATGCCAATTGATCATGTGATTAGTTGAACTGATTTCAAGGTAACTTATTTAAGATGAAAATATATACGAACTAGGTTTTCACTTCTTACTTCAAGTTCAATTAGTTGTATATAGATAGTCTTTGTAAGTTATAAAATTTAAAACTATTAATGTGTAACTGAGATCACTGGATGATCAGGAAGGCTGTATGTGCTTATGGAAGTGTGTGAACAGTGATTACATCCTAAAGAACAACAAAGTGGAAGTTGACTTCTTCTTAAATTACCAGAAGCAGAAAGAGCATCTTACTTACTTTTTACTTTACTTCGGCTATCTCCTACGGGAGGATGAGCCGGCTTCATGAACATGAGTTCATGAAGTTTCATGGGAATTAGGTACGAGTGATGTCCCCAGCATCGCTCGGCCTTTTGTTTGAGAGTGCAGCTCTAGCCTTTACACAACCAAGTGTGACCTACAAGGCAGTAGGAGTGGAGTAGGGAGTCCACTATCCATTGGCAGCCGGTGACCAGAGTCCGGTTCATACGCCTTTTTGAATGGGGCCAGTCATCCAGGGCATCCAATAAGCCCTTTGTCTTGGAATTGATAGTGTTCTCTGAGCTCCTTGGTTTAATTGCGGAGCTTTCATCGTCTTTCTGGACGACATCTTCAGCGCAGTATTTAGGATAAAGTGAAATGATTTAAATTTCTTCATGAGTCTCCCGGTAACCATCTTTAGATATTTATTGACCGTTTTCTATTGATTGGGATTTTAAACTTTCTGATCACCTGATTTACTTCTTATTAGTTGGTATATTTCATCTATATTAACGTGTTTATTAATTGCGTTTTCATTTGAGTACCAGGCTTCTAGGAATTCTCTGGCACATTTGGTGTTTCCTCTGTTTAAGATTTTGACATTATCCCAATCAAATTGATGTCCATGATCGTCTGAATGTATTGATACTAAAGAATTTATATCATGTCTTTTCACGGCTGATTTGTGTTCCTGGATTCTTATTCGAAGGGGACGCCCACTTTGGCCGATGTAATGTTTGTTACAGTTCACACAATTTATTTTGTAAATGGTGTTAATTTTATCTCCCTTTTCTATCGGATCTTTTGGTTTGCATAAGATAGAATTAAGCGATTCAGCTGGTTTGTGTGCTACATCTATATCAAACGGTTTCATTATTCTAGCCGTTATTTCAGAGATGTTTCTGATATATGGTAGGATGAATTGCTTTTTGGTCTTTGGTGATGGTTCTTTGTTGGTGCTTTCATTCGATTTTAAACACTTTTTGATGAAATTTTTTGGATAACCATTCTTCTTGAACACCGTTTGTAAGTATTTTTCTTCCATTCTTTTCAACTCTGGTGTGCTACAATGTGTTTGAATTCTTCTAAACAATGTCTGCACACAGTTTCTTTTGTGAGTAATTGGATTGTTGCTAGTATAGTTGAGTATTTGATCTGTGTGCGTTGACTTTCTGTATACTTGTGTTTCTAAATTTCCTGTGTTGGTTCTCCTGATTAAGACATCTAAAAATGGGATTTTGTTATCTAACTCTTCTTCTCTTGTGAATTTGATGTCTTCAAATATGTTGTTTATTAATTTATGGGTATATTCTAAATCATTTCTCTTAATTATTACAAATGTATCATCAACGTAACGTACCCAGATTTTCGGTTTAATTATAGGTAGAGCTATTAATTCTAATCTTTGCATAACGGCTTCAGCTATTAATCCTGATATGGGCGATCCCATTGGTGCTCCCTTTATTTGCTCATATATTTGAGTATTAAATTGAAAGTATGTTGTAAGGCATAATTTTATGAGTTCTATCCAAGTTGAACATTGCGTTTTTATGTTTTCATCACTATAGAGTAATCGTTGCATAGTTTCTGTTGCTAGTTTTGGACTAATCGAAGTATATAATGCTGTGACATCAAAGGACACCATTATTTCATTGTCTTCTACCTGAATGTTTTTGATTTTCTCTAGAAATTGAATTGACGAATTGATAGAATGGTCGCATGATTCTGTTAGGTAATTTAACTTCCTGAAAAGTTCTCTAGATAGATTATATGTTGGTGTTCCTGGAAGCGAAACGATTGGTCGTAAGGGGATGTTCGGTTTGTGTAGTTTTGGTCTACCATAAAATCGAGGTAAAATGGGTCCGTTAGATCTCATTCGCCATTGATCTTGTTCTGTAATTTGTCCTGATTTCGTTAGTTTATTTAACGTTGTTCTGATTTTGTTATCGAATGTTTGTATAGGGTTTTTTGTCAACTGTTGATATACATTATTATCTTTGAGTAAATCCTCTGCTTTCTTTATGTAGTCTTCTGTGTCCAGGATTACTGTTGTTCTTCCTTTATCAGCCGGTAGAATAACTATATCTTTTCTATTCTTTAGTTTCTTCAATGCATTTTGTTCTTCAGTGCTAAGTTGGGAATTATGTCTTTTCTGTTTGAGTAAAGGTATGATACGTTGACGTATTTCTTGTTGTACTTCCTCATTTAATTTTGATAATTTGAATGATGATTCTAATGAAGCACAAAAATCTGTTACTGAAGCGTCACCAGTATTGTAGTTGAGTCCTTTCTGAAGAAGTTGTTCTTCGGCTTTCGATAATGGCTGTTTCGATAGATTTACTACGCAATCGTTTAGAGTTTCTTCAGATGGTTGTTTGGATATCTTAGCTAGTTTGTCTCTGAGGAAGGCTCGTCTTCGCTCCTTGTGCCGTTCGCTTATCAATTTAATGGCAGTATTTAATGTTGACAGATGTTCTGGGGTAAGAGTATGTTCAAGCTTCTCTTTCTGAAATCTAATCATATGCTGATATTTTTTAATCCTATTGTGTGCATCCGTGATCATTAATCTCACCATTTGTTTTCCATGTTGTTTGGCTAACTTCCAGCCTAGAGGGCAGTTGATTGGTGGTTTATATCTGACAGAAGCTGGTAGGGTCTGCTGGCGGAGACATTCATGAAGAAAGAATAATTGCTCTTCTGTAGAAACTTGCCGTTTAGCAAAGTCTTCCCATTTTCGAAATTCCCATTTTTGGAATTGATAGTGTTCTCTGAGCTCCTTGGTTTAATTGCGGAGCTTTCATCGTCTTTCTGGACGACATCTTCAGCGCAGTATTTAGGATAAAATGAAATGATTTAAATTTCTTCATGAGTCTCCCGGTAACCATCTTTAGATATTTATTGACCGTTTTCTATTGATTGGGATTTTAAACTTTCTGATCACCTGATTTACTTCTTATTAGTTGGTATATTTCATCTATATTAACGTGTTTATTAATTGCGTTTTCATTTGAGTACCAGGCTTCTAGGAATTCTCTGGCACATTTGGTGTCTCCTCTGTTTAAGATTTTGACATTATCCCAATCAAATTGATGTCCATGATCGTCTGAATGTATTGATACTAAAGAATTTATATCATGTCTTTTCACGGCTGATTTGTGTTCCTGGATTCTTATTCGAAGGGGACGCCCACTTTGACCGATGTAATGTTTGTTACAGTTCACACAATTTATTTTGTAAATGGTGTTAATTTTATCTCCCTTTTCTATCGGATCTTTTGGTTTGCATAAGATAGAATTAAGCGATTCAGCTGGTTTGTGTGCTACATCTATATCAAACGGTTTCATTATTCTAGCCGTTATTTCAGAGATGTTTCTGATATATGGTAGGATGAATTGCTTTTTGGTCTTTGGTGATGGTTCTTTGTTGGTGCTTTCATTCGATTTTAAACACTTTTTGATGAAATTTTTTGGATAACCATTCTTCTTGAACACCGTTTGTAAGTATTTTTCTTCCATTCTTTTCAACTCTGGTGTGCTACAATGTGTTTGAATTCTTCTAAACAATGTCTGCACACAGTTTCTTTTGTGAGTAATTGGATTGTTGCTAGTATAGTTGAGTATTTGATCTGTGTGCGTCGACTTTCTGTATACTTGTGTTTCTAAATTTCCTGTGTTGGTTCTCCTGATTAAGACATCTAAAAATGGGATTTTGTTATCTAACTCTTCTTCTCTTGTGAATTTGATGTCTTCAAATATGTTGTTTATTAATTTATGGGTATATTCTAAATCATTTCTCTTAATTATTACAAATGTATCATACGTCTGCCGGTGAGCTCCAGTGAGCTTCATACGCCAGTTGTTGGAGGTTTGGAATCAGGGTTTAGCCATCTCCCCTAGACTGTCATCCAATGGACAGTCAACCCGGTGAAGAGCGCCGGGCATCCGCTTTTGCCCTCTCACTTCGGTGAAAAAAAACACCTCCGCCACGTGAAGGCAGTGAGTAGGACTTCCTCAGGAGAGGCTATGTAAGACGCCCGGTCATATGGGAGCATTTCGAGAGGTGTACGGAGGGGTGGCCAACCCGCAGCGCAAGGCACCCACCCCCGACCATCAGTGCTGCTTGACTGCAAGGCTGCTCGAAGCTAGTCAAATACAGCCTGTTTGGAGTGATTATTGGAGTCGTGTGTGTATGAAGATCACTCTGGCGGGTGTGGACCACCACAAAGTTAGTTAAGGTGGACCATTTCTAGGGCTGCAGCATTGCTGGCTTTTAGCAGGGAAATACCTTACTGCTGTACTCCAGTAGATCCCTAACATAAGGTAAACGGACTTACACTAATAAAGTAACGAATATGAATAAATTAATGATGCATTAACTAAACCGTATAAAGTACTAGTGAAAACAAAAAGAAAATGTATATAAGTATAAAGGTAGTGTTAACTAATGTGAGATTCTGGCTACAGCACTACTGCTGTTAATGTTCTCCTTTAGTCATTACCTCTAATTACGAAACCGACACTAAATGAACAGGTTAGCTGTCTTGGACCACAAACGTCTGAGCACAATCTCCCATGTTGAATGATATAATACGGTCAGTAACAATCAGGTTAGTTGTAGTGTTACGTAAGGCAGGGAAGTCAGTCGATGAAGTTGTGAAGCTATATCTCCCTTGGCGACCTGCTTGAATCACTGGGTTACTTGAATTTCCCTCCAACACAATGCATCATATCTTTCCTAAATCTTATTGCTTCAACCATTCAGTCATGTTTCTTGAGTCACAAAATGTGTTCATGCATAATTTTAATTACCTTTCAAAATATTGGTGCATTTTTGAAAGTCGAGGGAAATATATCATAAGGGGTTCGTATGTTATTGTGGTGAGAGCTGGCTGGGAAGAAGCCAAATTGTAAACAACAATCTACGTCAGTGTTACGCCCTGAATCAGGGCCACAAGAAAAACGATAACAAAGCTTAATCTTGAGGAACTCACCAACCAATAGCAGCAGACTTAACGTGCGCAAATACGATTCGCAAATATATGGCTTAACTTTCTAAGAAACGGTCACAAGCAGTACAGAATAACCTTAAGCAAGAAAACAACCAATCAGAAGACGTTGCTTCTCTGCTAACAATAACGTTAATAATAATGGACATAAAAATCTATAAATATCTCTTGATTTTCTCAATAAACAATCTGTTGACTGGCTCTTGTCTTCTGTCGTTACACTATAATATGACATGCAATAAATTATGCTGGGAATTTCTGTGCACTGTGTAAACGCATTTTGTCCAGAATAAAGCTATTATTATTATTATTATTATTATTATTATCAATACTGAGATGGCTAGGATAAGTATTGCGTTTGCCACGCCATCGTGTTCCCCGACGAGTAATGTTAGCTGATATAAGATTAGGTCTAAAGAGATTTAAAAGTGGTCAAATGAAAACTTGGTATCGATCCATGAAGTCCTGAATCACGTAGGAAGGTATAGGCTGCCTGGTTGGGTTCTTTGAGACTCCGGAAACCAGTGGTGTCCGTCAGAGATGCCCCCTATCCCCAATTTTCTTTAATTTCACCATAGATATTTTACCAATGGAATTAACCCTAACTGACTTCAGAGACTCAGGGATTGACTTGCTACCATGGAATAATCTCGTTGAATTAATTCTTTTTTAATTTTAATTTTTGATTACAGCTTGATTCCACACTGTATTTTCGGTACAGTATGGAATTTTCAGCAAGGATATCGGTAGCCCAAATTTTGCAGGCCGACCATAGACATCAGGTGTTCGTCGGTAGGGGTTCGAACCTTGGACCATGTGCATGGTCGGTGAGAGTTCTAACCACTGTGCCACCGAATACGCAGATGATATAGTCCTCCTAGGTGAAGACGCTGGCAAAATGCAGTCATCCGAACACCTTGTGGAGAAATCTTCGAATGTTTGGCATGTGATTCTCTCCTGCTGTCAAATGTAAGATGATGCAACAGGACTGGACTACGTTGATTACCAGCTTAAACATAAGGAGCAAGTGGTGCATAGCTCTACGCTGAAACCAGTCAGTCAGTCAGCCAATCAGTAGAACATTGAAATCTCGATAGCGTTAGTAAACGCATAACCATTATTATTATTATTATTATTATTATTATTATTATTATTATTATTATTGTCATTACTGTCAATCAAAATGAAAGAACAATAAACAAAAAGTTTACTTCACTAACCTGTTCACGCATTTTTAAAGCTGCTGAATAATAAATACTGCTCTCTAGATTATATTCAAAACAATTATCTAACATTAAATTAAAATCGGATAATAACGCCTCCAATGTGGAATATTCAAAATTTTCTATCTTTTTACGCATTGTTGAGAAATCCATAGGCTTTTTAATAATCAAAGCATAATCTGGTGCTACACTTGGTTGAACAGGCTCACAGAAAAATTCATTAATATCCAATGTCTTTGCAAAAGAAGAGGAAGAAAAACAAACGAATAAATTATCAGATCATGTACACCTAAGTGGTATTAGTTATTATAACTAAGTGATGAAATAAGAATTAGATGAGATATAGTCAACATATACTGACTAATATACATGGAACAACCTTTCTTAACTAATAAATTGAAGATCAATGATAATTTGAGTGGATAAAGGTAAGCTCCTGCATTGTTGAGGAGTCTGAACAGTCCACTTGTAAGCAGTAAGTCAGCCTTTCTCTGTGTTAATGTCTTTTCTTTTTCAAGACTGGTGACAAACTGAATTCAATTAAAGAATAATTGAAAATTAGGGCGTACCAGAATGCTGTCCCGTCCTTTTTTTGGGATTCTTCAGAAGTACGCATCAATTTCCTCACCAGGCATAGGACCTAGGAACTGCATGTTATAAGGCGAGTCCCCTTGACTACTTAGCCACTCACATATAATCTAATGGCTCATCAATTCTAACTTCTGCCGATTTATGATATATAGCGCGACCGTTAGGCAATGTCATTGGCGAGTACTGGTCCTCACACTCTGGTGAACCCCACTAGTCACGACTTTATCGTGTAGTCAGTCGTTATCTTTTAGTTGATTTTTCCCCCATGAAGTATACATTGCTTCACTTTTAAAACACAGGGTGAACAAAGTTCAATGAACCATGCCATGAAGAATAAGGCAGTTTTCAAGAAGTTGTAACATTTACCATTTGCATGTTTTACATACAGATAGAAAAATAATTTTCAAGTTCTGGCTTTTAGGGATTAGATTGATTTCACGTTGAATTTTATCACAAACAGCCGTGTTAGAGAACTGTTGAAAACCAGGGATAAGTAGAGAGCTATTCTATCCTTTCGGAAGCCACCAGACATCTAATCCCAAACTACCAGAAAACAAGGCATGTCCATCGACCTTCTAGCCATTGGGCTGAATGAAATCTTATGACTTTTGAACTCTAACTTCTGTCGATTGGCGACTTATAGTGCCACAGTTATCCAATGCCATCAGTGAGTATCTGTCTCCACACCTGATATAGTGGACCCCACTGGTTACGATTTTTAAATATGAACCCAGGAAGTCCATGTCATAACCAGTTACTAATGATTACTGGAATAACTTTTGCTTTAAAATTTACAGTCATTCTGAAATCTACCTTGGTTCATGGTGACCGAAGTGGAATACAGGATGCTCTTTTCTTCCTATTTTTCGGATTCGTCAACTAGTGGATGTACCTGCATTCCAAAATGAGTGATGGTGTCCTCGCTGAAACTCAAACACTGCACCCATTGCTTCAAGCACCAAAGTATTATCCATTAAGCCACGAGAGCTACCTCTTATTCAACAGGTATTAGTTATTTTTGTATTAATTTGCATTTCTTATTGATTGATCATGTTGGACTGGATTCTACCACCAGTCATCAATGGATCAACAAAAACTCCACATTAATCCTCAGACATTGTCAAAGAGTCCATGTAATAGGAGCCGCATGTCAACAGAGATCCAACATTTCGGTTCAACATAGTCAATCAAAGGGGATAAGTGAATAAAATATATTACTTTGTACAATGATTTATTGTTAGCGATACCACCTACTACCGAACACTACTGTTTTAAGTCCAATTTCGCAGCAGCATACAGCCACAGCTTGCGAGCAGGTTATTGTAACTATCATTTAGCTTTCTCTTATTAAAGCGAATAAGAGGATTTCAACAGACGGCGTGATACCAAGTGGAAAGGAGTTAGTGGTCACGATTAAAGTCTTAGTATCAATTGAATTCGTCGGAGAATGAAACAGATAATAAACAATGAGTAGACAGAAATAAGAAACCAACAAAAAGCAGATAACTTACTTGAAGTTGATCTATGAATCGTAATTGAAAGACTACAAAAGGTTTAATTTTCAATTCAATTTCATTAACAAATAAACGAAATATATCACGTTTAATACGTTCACGTTTACGTGTCAACTCAGAAAGAAGACGTCCTTTCTCGAGATCTTGACGTAATTGTTGCCAGAATTTTAAATGAGCTCTCATTCGTTGAGATTCTGCATCGCCAGTTGTAGCTGCTACAGCCTATAGATAATCACGCAAAAAATGAAGACACTTAAGAACTTCAACTGAAAACTAGATACTACATAACTAGTGTCTTGATTAATTAATTAATCCCTTAGAGTGAAATGTACAATTCACAAGTGTTACTTATAGTTAACAATGTTAACAATTAGCTTTTCATTGGTAGAACAGTGAAAATTCACCACATTGGAAGATAATGTTATGGAAAAAATTGACATTACTCCAGAAGATGACAACCTCTAAAGATTCTATACTAAGCAGATACCATAGTAAAATGACATACATCTAGTCATCATTTTCTGTTGCTGGTTATTTTCGCTGAGAATTCAGTAAGCACCAACACACAGGACTAGAAACATTGATTACACTCTAGTGACCAATTAATGCCTGCATAACAGTTCAAAAGGACGCAGCTGTGAAGTCGAATACCACAAAACTAACATCTTTGATTGTAACACACGGTGATAACTGATAATTATATCTTTCCAGGTTATACAAACACCATATCAACAAGACTCGAAAAATAACCATTAATTCATAAGTATGAACACAGTTTTTGTTCAGCGAAGAAATTTCTTTTCAACGACTTCATTTTCAAGCTGTACAGTCGTATTTATATTACAGAAAAAGGTTATTAAGTGGCACTAAATAATTGCTCAGTCAATGTACGTATATATGTGATAAAAGTTATAAGGGGTAGAGTTGAAGTGGATAAATTACAAAAATATTAAAGATTGTTCTATAACAAAAATGTCAAGTGTTGTCTAAAAATTTTGAAAATTAGGAGTACGATTACGATAAGAATGAAGATGTGAAGTGAAGTGGAAAGAATTCAAGTGGTAAAATAAAATAAAAACTAGAAAGAACATTATTATGACCAAGGTAAAGAAAGGGGTTTGACAAAACGCTTTTGAACACATAATTTAGGTTTCTGTTCATGTATAGCTAAAGCTTCGGCTATGCATAAGTGAAGAAAACGTAAACTTTTGGATCGATTCGATTTTGCCATGTATATAACTTTGAAAGATGAATCACGTGGGGCTAAATGACCAGACTCTAACAGGTGATCACAAATAGACGACTTTGCAGTTCTACGTTCGCCTTTCATTAACCAAACCGGATAGTGTTCAGCTACACGTTTTCGGAGATTACGCTTACAACGTCCAATATAAACAGCTCCACAAGAGCAAGTAAAAGAGTAAATGCACATAGATGTGGACAAAAGCGGTAATCTATCCTTGACGCATTGTCTGATCATATTTCGGCTGGTAAAAACTAGTTGCAGGTCAGCTGCAGGAAAAGTGCGTTTAACACATTTAGATAAACGATTTTTAATCAATTCTGAAATGGTGTCACCTTTGAATGCAAGACTCATAAACAGCTTTTTCTTTGGTACTGTGACTTGTCTCGGGGCGGATTCTTTCTTGATGTTACGTTCAATGAACCTTGTGGGATAACCATTGTTAAGGAGATTTGATCGAAGGTTATCTAGTTCCCTATCGATTGTCTCTGCAGAGCAGATTTTACGAATTCTGGAGCATAAGGAATGAATAAGATTTCTCTTTCTCCCTAAAGGTACCCAACTGTTGAAGTTAGTGTACTGCCCAGTGAATGTTGGCTTTCGGTAAATCGACCTTAGAAGCGTTCCATTCTCTCTTCTATCTAGCTTAACATCAAGGAAGTGAAACGAAGAATCCGACTCTTCTTCGATCGTGAAAAGCAAAGATGGGTGAGAACCATTAAATATTCTAAGAAGTTCGGCAGTTGAAGTGTTTTCATCACATACAATGAAGGTATCATCAACATATCTTTTATACATAAACAGACTATCGATGGTTTCCTTTAGTGGGCCATTCTCTAAGCTTGCCATGAAAACGTCCGCTAAGAGCGGTCCTAAAGGAGACCCCATGGCGACTCCATCCCTTTGGTTGTAGATGACATCATTAAATCTAAATTGCACATTCAGTGTGCATCTCAATAGTAGTTGTTTAAGATAATCAGTTGGTAAGCCAATGTTCATGCTATTTGAATCAATATACTCGCATAGATAGCAGATAGTGTCTACTAGTGGTACATTTGTGAACAATGAACAAATATCTAACGAAATCATATGCTTACCAGTCACATTAATTTCATCAACACAACTGACGAAGTCAAAAGTGTCGGAAAGACTATGTTTACATAGATTTAATCTAACTGGTTCCAGAATTTCCGCAAGCCATTTAGCGGTAGAGTGATACGGTGAATTCAGCATATCCAATACAGGTCGCAGAGGGACATCATCTTTGTGCACCTTTGGAAGACCATATAAACGAGGGATAGTTGAACCAGATGGTTTAAGCTGTTCATACATATATGGAGTAATGATGCATTCTTGCTTCAATTTCGTCAAAGTTTTAGATAATTCCTTCTCAATATTATCTGTCTTGTCCTTTTGATCGGGTGATTTTAGAAATTTTTCTTCATCACTCAGGATGGTACATAATTTATTGACATAATCATCACGATTAAGAATAACAATACCTGATCCCTTGTCTGGACGAATCAGTATTATGTTTTTGTTGTTAAGCAATTCATTTAGTTGTCCTTTGTGTTCTAAATGAATTGCTTAACAACAAAAACATAATACTGATTCGTCCAGACAAGGGATCAGGTATTGCTATTCTTAATCGTGATGATTATGTTAATAAATTATGTACCATCCTGAGTGATGAAGAAAAATTTCTAAAATCACCCGATCAAAAGGACAAGACAGATAATATTGAGAAGGAATTATCTAAAACTTTGACGAAATTGAAGCAAGAATGCATCATTACTCCATATATGTATGAACAGCTTAAACCATCTGGTTCAACTATCCCTCGTTTATATGGTCTTCCAAAGGTGCACAAAGATGATGTCCCTCTGCGACCTGTATTGGATATGCTGAATTCACCGTATCACTCTACCGCTAAATGGCTTGCGGAAATTCTGGAACCAGTTAGATTAAATCTATGTAAACATAGTCTTTCCGACACTTTTGACTTCGTCAGTTGTGTTGATGAAATTAATGTGACTGGTAAGCATATGATTTCGTTAGATATTTGTTCATTGTTCACAAATGTACCACTAGTAGACACTATCTGCTATCTATGCGAGTATATTGATTCAAATAGCATGAACATTGGCTTACCAACTGATTATCTTAAACAACTACTATTGAGATGCACACTGAATGTGCAATTTAGATTTAATGATGTCATCTACAACCAAAGGGATGGAGTCGCCATGGGGTCTCCTTTAGGACCGCTCTTAGCGGACGTTTTCATGGCAAGCTTAGAGAATGGCCCACTAAAGGAAACCATCGATAGTCTGTTTATGTATAAAAGATATGTTGATGATACCTTCATTGTATGTGATGAAAACACTTCAACTGCCGAACTTCTTAGAATATTTAATGGTTCTCACCCATCTTTGCTTTTCACGATCGAAGAAGAGTCGGATTCTTCGTTTCACTTCCTTGATGTTAAGCTAGATAGAAGAGAGAATGGAACGCTTCTAAGGTCGATTTACCGAAAGCCAACATTCACTGGGCAGTACACTAACTTCAACAGTTGGGTACCTTTAGGGAGAAAGAGAAATCTTATTCATTCCTTATGCTCCAGAATTCGTAAAATCTGCTCTGCAGAGACAATCGATAGGGAACTAGATAACCTTCGATCAAATCTCCTTAACAATGGTTATCCCACAAGGTTCATTGAACGTAACATCAAGAAAGAATCCGCCCCGAGACAAGTCACAGTACCAAAGAAAAAGCTGTTTATGAGTCTTGCATTCAAAGGTGACACCATTTCAGAATTGATTAAAAATCGTTTATCTAAATGTGTTAAACGCACTTTTCCTGCAGCTGACCTGCAACTAGTTTTTACCAGCCGAAATATGATCAGACAATGCGTCAAGGATAGATTACCGCTTTTGTCCACATCTATGTGCATTTACTCTTTTACTTGCTCTTGTGGAGCTGTTTATATTGGACGTTGTAAGCGTAATCTCCGAAAACGTGTAGCTGAACACTATCCGGTTTGGTTAATGAAAGGCGAACGTAGAACTGCAAAGTCGTCTATTTGTGATCACCTGTTAGAGTCTGGTCATTTAGCCCCACGTGATTCATCTTTCAAAGTTATATACATGGCAAAATCGAATCGATCCAAAAGTTTACGTTTTCTTCACTTATGCATAGCCGAAGCTTTAGCTATACATGAACAGAAACCTAAATTATGTGTTCAAAAGCGTTTTGTCAAACCCCTTTCTTTACCTTGGTCATAATAATGTTCGTTCTAGTTTTTATTTTATTTTACCACTTGAATTCTTTCCACTTCACTTCACATCTTCATTCTTATCGTAATCGTACTCCTAATTTTCAAAATTTTTAGACAACACTTGACATTTTTGTTATAGAACAATCTTTAATATTTTTGTAATTTATCCACTTCAACTCTACCCCTTATAACTTTTATCACATATATACGTACATTGACTGAGCAATTATTTAGTGCCACTTAATAACCTTTTTCTGTAATATAAATACGACTGTACAGCTTGAAAATGAAGTCGTTGAAAAGAAATTTCTTCGCTGAACAAAACTGTGTTTTATATTAAGTGACAGGAAGGAAACATGGAGCGTAGGTCAAGGACATGTTGTCGACTTCCAGCAACTATCTAACACATGAGAATGCACTGCAACATAAAACCTAAATGTACAAAAAAAAGTTACTCTTCTTATTTTAAAAGCATGACATAACGAAACAATGAAAACACCTAGAAACTCGGAAATCTTCAATAGTACGTACAATAGCTAACTATTCATCTGACTGTTGACACGATGTTTTCAAGTGTCCTTTAGGAATACATTCGAAGCAAAATAAGTTTATATTTATTTACAATGTTACTGTGACCCATTGGTTTAGGAACTCAAATCTCAGTGGATGGGTGACGCGTTCGATTCTTACTCCAACTATTTTAGCCCGCACAACTAAGCAGTATTACCAGCCCTCATATAATAAGTGTGGCTCATAAAGCCTGGTACACGAAAACCTTTAATAATGTGAATATAACATATTTGGATTTCACTTCTTGAAGTATTATCACTTCATACTCCATTTTTATTTTCCACACCTTCGCATTTCCATTCACACCATTTGAAAACCGTTCAAACTAGTCTCTAAGATATGACCAATTCATTTGTTTTTAACAAGATCCACCGAATAAAACTATAACAGTTTTCTACTTTTAATTATACGGTTCACCGAATTAGCACGTGATCAAAGGACTTTTTCAACAGCCTGCTGTAGACTTTAGTCGACAACTACCAAATACCAACCGGAAAGGACAAGCAACAAGGAACTCCGGCAGTGAACCCACCAATAACCTATTGCTATGGAGATAGTCCAGATTCAGAAAAGATCTTGGAGACACCACACACCAGGCCCTTCATGAGAATTCGAAAGAGAAGCGAAGCGCTAGAAGTGGTAGGTTTATACAGAGATCATGTAACAAAGAGGAGATAAAAGCTTGTGAACAATGGTGGAACCAGTTGGAAGTGAAGTCAGAGAACCAAGTGCAAAAAAGACGTGCAGCTGAGGTCCAAGGAATAAATAATAACAGGTATTGTCATTCTATTTCTGGGAAATTTACTAAAAACCTTTATAAAGTGTACCCGACTAATTTAGCTTATTTTATTACCTTCACGGAAATACGCACACATTACTGAGATAACTGTTGACAGTACAGCGTCCTCAGGGTAATCAAATTTGGATTACAGGACAAACTTTGTATGTAGGATAAGATCATGTTGCCGAATATGCAATTTTAGGAATGTCGGTTTATGTAGCTACTTAGCATGCTATTTATTGTGCAATGTAAGTTACGTGAAAGGTAGACACACTGAGTGATTGAGTTTTGCCGCTATTAAAATGAGACCAGCCAACAAGATTGATTTTAACTTTCTTTTAGTTATCTTACTCTCCAAATCAGTGGAACATCCTTAGGTTCCAAGTGAAACATAGGGTGTCAGCAGCATATAGCTATTTCACTCTGTCCTCTGGAGTCCTATTGAGATGGTTCCACGATTCCCAGTAAGCTTTCGTCCTCTAATCACATGATGTCTTAGGATGCCAAACTCATCATTTTCCATTTGCGTCACAGTCAAGGGTCTAGCGTGTAGTGTTACTCCATAATCTCCACAGCGTATAACGAATCGATCCACAATTTCTTCTGCATATTTGTCGGCCGATAGGATCTTGGCGACTCTTCGCCAGAGTTTGATTTTACTAACTCTTTCTGTCCATTTGATCTCCAATACTAAGCGAAGGTAATTGCTGCTGAAAGTCTGCAGCCTTTTGAAAATGCTTTCTGTGATTCACCCAGTCTCTGGAAAATATAAAAGCATTGACTTCATATCGGTGTTGATTTCGCACTAATTGAAGTCTGTCTTGCTTTTCCAATCCTGACTAACTTTGACTTTCACCTAGAGTGTCTGTAGTTGAAATGATGCTGCCTAGGTAGGTGAAAAAGGCAACTTCTTGTAGATTTCTTCTACTGATGGTGACTGATGATTCTTGGTGTTGGCTCGGCATCTTCATCACCCGTCCTTTCTCTCTGCCTATATATATAATATATATATATAACGAAGCATATTCATTAGTGAACATATCTGTGCTCTAGTCAATCTTTGGAGAAATCAAATCTTCAAAATATGTTAACAATGGATATCTTCAGCAAATAAATATCACATTGAAACTTACAAAACTGGCTGCGCTTCTGTGTATGGAGCATGCTTGAAGTCGTTTCAAAAGTGGCACACCACGTCTAAATTCCCTTTTAAGCTTCCAAAATGCATACGTTTGCTTCAAAAACTCCATCTTATCACCCGATACCCCAGTTAGTTTGGACAGAATGAGCTGAATTAAAATGAGACAGCGAAAATATAGATAAGACTAGTTAGAAAGAATAGTTATCCATGTTCAGATACTGATAATAAAAGTTGTACATAGGACACAAAATTCACACACGGTTATACAATTTTCATTAAATTAAACTAATATACAATGGTATACACAGTTGAAGTGATTAGGCATCATTTATACTTTGAAGCTTTTGTGTAGATGCTTAATTGCTATGAAAAGACTGCAATTCTAACTTTTAATCATACACAGGGGAGATACGCTAATGGTTAGAGGCGGTATACAATATAGTCACATACTATCCAGTCCAAAATTTGCACACAAATTAACAACTAGTCTATATAAGAATCTTCATCCCCTGTAAAGAAATTTAATTATGGCAAATGCAGGTTGGTATGGTTAGCTGTCACTACGATGTACAGACTAGGCAATAGTTACACATATAGAAAAGGAATAGAACGTCTTTAATGGTACAAACCGCATAATTGATTTTATTAATTCACTTCACGTAACTGGTTACCTAATAGAGGACATGCATAAGCACATATTGGCAGATTAACTAACACCAACCAAAGGGAATTAGTGGATTTTGGTGTAGTCCCGTTCCCTGAGCTGAATGGTTTAATTGCGAAACTTTTACATTTTCTTTCTGGACGATACCTTCAGAGATAGCGTCAGAGATGAAGCGGGCCTTTAGAATACTCCAAGGATTATAACAGTTATATCTCCCGATCAATCTGAATGTGATCGCATGTCTTAGGAGATTTTCTTATCCTCTTGTTGATAGACGCACATGAACAAAGTGAGCGTAATAGAGTGTGGTGAAGTTCCAGAAGATATAACTGCGCGTTAGAAGTCAATTCATAATAACCTTAATGATTACCTCCCAAATATAGCTATTTCACAAAAGACCCCAAAAAATCATACAATTCAGAGATTCATTGAATTTATAGAGGTAACGTATATCTTTTGGTCACTCTGAACCTTTTCTAACCTTTTTTAGCGAAAATTCAACACCATACTTTCCACTGGACGGTTGTTTATAGCATTTTCTGGTCACTAGGGTGTAACCAGTATCATGTGTCCCATCCTTGATGTTGGTGCTAACTGAATACTATCAGTCAAGTATGCAACGTGACCAACAAACCAGATGATGTCATCACGGTGCACTCTGAATTGATGTTAGATAGTTGAATGTTATTATTAGGAAGCTGTGAAGCATAATTAATAAATATGATCTAGGAAAACTTAACTCTGAAATACGAACCACTTTATGTTATTTTTATATATATTTGTCAAACTCTATTAATTCTCTTCACTCATCTTCTTGTCTACCTCTGTGTGCTATTTGGAACGTGGCAACTCGAACTGCTGCACTTCGGTGCCAAGTTCTATGTTGAATCCAGACAGACAGACAGACAGATGTTATTTTTAAAGTGCTTAATACAATTGTTGAATAAGATAAATAGATTCACACCGACTAGCAGATTACAAATTTGTGCTATGATACTCGTCACCATTAATATGTAGGTTATGAATGGTTTAGAAGACACTAGAAATATTACTTGAATTCATTCTTTAAAGAATAGATTTATAGTTTAAGTAGTTTTTTTTAACAAGGGCCTGAAATCTAGTCAGGATAAAAGTACAAAATATTATAGATAGTGTTTAAATAAGCCCCTGAAGTTAACTGTCCACTGGATTTCTTAAAATCAAATATTTTATGCCTATTTTCATGTGGTTGCGTGAATTTTTCACGAGATTACAGAAAAACTAAAAAGTGTAGTTTGTTCCAAGTTTAGTGGACTAGATTTGATACCTTTTTTATTCCTTTACGTTCCCAGTGGAATATAGGGCTTCAAGCTAGAGACTTGAAGTTTCGGTAGCAGTGGTGTTTATTTTTACGACATGGGGTTGCTAGCCTCATGCCCAGCCTTCCCTCTTTACCAGTCTTATTAATAGCTTAGCGAGGTAAGGAAGTACGTCGGCCAGGAATCGAACCCCGGACCACAAGCGTGGTCTGCGAGCATTCTACCGCCGTGCCAACGACGCAAACAAGTGAACTAGATTTGACACAAAACTGTTATTTTAAATCCTCTACCCGCACAAATAATGTCACAGATTTTAGCACCTGCTGAGGCAGTGGAAGCATCATTCTTCATGAATTTATGATTTCAAAACAGTACGTCGGTGGTTCCATGGTAGAATGCTCGCCAACCACGGATGTAGTACGCATTCGAACCCCAACTAGTGCAACCCTAAACCTCACCTACCCGGTAGTAAGTCCCGTAAGGAACAAAGGTCGGGTGTGAAGATAGCAACCACACCTCATGAAAACTAAAACCCCCGTTACCGAAAAATTTCAAAGTTCAAGCTGCAAGAGCTGTGTTCCACTCGGAACACAATGTATCGATATAGCTTCACAACACCATGGATTGACTTGCCCACCTTACCTAACACTCACAGCCTAACCCGAATGTTACTAACCATATTATAGCAATAAACAGGGGAAATAAAATGAGGATTTGATCATGAGCTGACATCAGTTAGAGAACCAGTGGAAAACCTGGGAGTACTGGACAGCTCTTTCGTCCTAGTTTGGGACTCCTCAGCAGTACGCACCCACCGGGATTCGAACCCAGGACCTTCTGGTTACAAGGCGAGCTCGTAGACCATTGAGCCACTGGGACCCGATCCAATGGTCCTTGAATTCTAACTTCTGCCAGTTCACGACATAGCGCGACCACTTCGCAATGTCTTCTTCGATGAGTTACTGCCTCATCTTCAACCTGCTGTACCCTACTGGTCACGGCTTCCCACTTCCATGCAATCAAACAAAATCCCTGCAACAAACCAATACTTAAAACTTCATCTGGTGCTCACTAGTGACTGGCCCTATTCAGGCAGTTAACCTGGGGTTCTAGTGGGAAGCCGTGACCAGTAGGGTACAGCAGGTTGAAGATGAGGCAGTAACTCATCGAAGAAGACATTGCGAAGTGGTCGCGCTATGTCGTGAACTGGCAGAAGTTAGAATTCAAGGACCATTGGATCGGGTCCCAGTGGCTCAATGGTCTACGAGCTCGCCTTGTAACCAGAAGGTCCTGGGTTCGAATCCCGGTGGGTGCGTACTGCTGAGGAGTCCCAAACTAGGACGAAACAGCTGTCCAGTACTCCCAGGTTTTCCACTGGTTCTCTAACTGATGTCAGCTCATGATCAAATCCTCCATGCAATCAAACAAAATCCCTACAACAAACCAATACTTAAAATAAAATGAGAACAACTGTAGTCAAAGACAGCTAGTCTCCTTCTATCATTCACTAACAATGATCACGTCTTAAAGCCATGAAAAAGAACAGGACACGATCTTTTCGTATCTGTGCTAAGATTTCGTCAGCAAACCGTCCATTAAGGCTAAGGCAACTCACCCAACCACTTCACTCTCGATTTTTAATCTAAAAATCGTTAAGTAGGTATCAAACAAATAAATTCAACCAGATCAATAACACACCAATCATATGTACTAAGAATCATTATGATGAAAAGGAATAAAAAAATCTCCCTTTACGAATCCACATTCTACTTCAGTTAAATATTTTTCTAAACAGTGAAACTTTTCTGTTTTTTTGAAAACAAAACCAAACTTACATCCATTTTTGCTTTCGATACAATAGGTACACAAACAGAAGGTTTAGAATTTCGACGCTCTGCTAAAATTTTACGAGCTTTTCTCAAATGAATACGAGCTGCTTGTTCGGGAGATTGAGGACTTTCAGAGTCAGAATGAGCATACATGCCTTTATTTGAACTCTGAACAAAAGTAGATAAAGGATAAAAGAGTACAAAGTATTTATTATTTTATCAATGGTTAGATAATAACTTATAATTTTATTCTGCTTCACAAAATATCAGTACCATTCATTAACAGAAGGTAGACTCATAGTGAATATAGATTCATTCATAGTGTAAGGACGATCCTGGAAGAAGATATACAGATAAAACCGCTACCAGAATTTGGATTCCATACAATGCTTCTATCATCCACAATTCACAATGGCAGCCTATCAACATCACGAGTCCATAATGAATGTAACTGACAGCCTAGTAAGATAAACCTGTAGAGAGTCAGTGGGCTGTGTTAATAAATTGGTAACTAAAGGCAATAAATAAACGAACATAGAGTATGAATAAAACTCATCCCACTCTTGGGAAATAGATTATGAGGTAAGAAACTATTTTCATGATGGTTATTTGATAGCTAAATATTCTGGTAATCAGATATTAGTAAAATAGTATCTAACTCATTCAATATTCGGAAATAGATGTAGAGACAACAATTATATTTAACCTTCTCGATTTATTCAGCATGGTGCTGGGTTGTCAACATCTTTTCAGTTAAGTCAACAGAGAAACACGAAGCAATTACATAAAAACTCACAGAAAAGTGATCTGGTGGACAATGTTGATCACAAAATGCACTTTTTCGAATACCAGAGTCTTCAGGATCATCTGTATGTTCAATTTTCATGTACAAACCAGCATGTTGTGCACAAGTAACATGAAATGCTCGATAACAACTGGTTTTATGACATTGAATACAAGCACCAACATTGCGTTGTTTACAGATGAAACAGAGAAGACGCCATCTATAGCATAAAGAATAGATAAATGAATCATGGCATGCGTGTTTTCAAGATGTGCAAATTTTTAAGTTAAATTTAAGAACGCCAATCAATTCAAGCATGTTAGCTAACCTGAGAAAAAAAAAGCTTTGTCCGATAAAAACAAGTGCAATATCCTTACTGACTGCTTTTCAGTTTACTTGGAAATTGGGAAACGCAGGGTACTTTTCACGTAATCTTCTACACAACACGATCAGTAGGTAAGGGTAAAATACTTCTAAACCGCTTTGTTGACTGTATCAATCGTGAGGGTGGCGAAATAGCTACCTAGGTAAATTCAAGTGCGATAAAAATCAACTCACTTAAACCATTAATGTTTGAAAAGAATATGGGGGTGATTAAAACTAACACACTGAACTGTGATACAACTTAAGCCGCTAGGTTATTCGGGTAGTGATACTGCAGTAGTAAGAAAAGTATTGAAGATGAAGGGATTGCTCAACATAAAATTTGCTGATGAATCATAGTAGCCTGAAACACACAGAAAGGCTGGTAATTACCAACTTATTAATACTAAGGCAGCAATACTTTTAGAAATAAAAGTTGTTTAACGAAGAAACTTCAACTGGACTAAATAAGCGAACTTCCCCAATTTGACACAGTTCAAGTATGATGAAGGCTGTTGTGCCAAACTAGGTAAAGGAGTTTCATACAGCTGGAAGCGAGGTTGTATAAAGTGAGCTCGCCTCGTAACCAGAAGGTCGTGGGTTCGAATCCCGGTGGGCGCGTACTTCTGAAGAGTCCCAAACTAGGACGAAACAGTTGTCCAGTACTCCTAGGTTTTTCAATGGTTCTCTAACTAATGTCTGCTTTTGATGAAATCCTGTAAGCCAATCAAATCCCTACAAACCAACACTTGCATAACAAATCCTTCAAGTGTGTGACATTTCCTTCAAGTAATATCAGTCCGCAAGACAATTTCATTAACCTCTTGAATGATTTTAATTCTGGTAGCACAAACAAAGGATACATGATTCTCAGAATCCATTTCTCTCCATAACGGTAGGACAGTATAGTTGGAATTGCTGACAACCTGATGAAAAACAATTTCCTGTAGAACTTATACTTATGTGGTCAATAATATACCTCTTCTATCCGCACTTCTGTAAGAGGGAACGGAAGAAGGAATTATAGGAGTTTCAAACTTCACTGTTAGATTGCCCCGATGTGATGTACACTAAATCACAACAATGCAACATATGTTGATAGAATAGTATATTTTTTTTAAATAAGAGAGTAAATGAAAATCTTCATTATGCAATCTACTGACCTTGCAGGAGCTATCCTGTCTATACCTTCAAGTGGTTCAAGGAATGTAAGGTTGGCAAACATTACTTCAGGTACCCATAGTCCACAAATAACATGAGCCCAGCGATCATCTGTAGTTTTTTTGAAAGCACCACCTCTATTCGGACAAAGTACACATGAAACTGGTTCACTTGGGGAATGAAGGCATTTACGACAAAGCCAAGGACCTTCAGGAACATAAGGAACTCCATAACACTCCTGAATATATAAAATAACAAAAATGATAATAATGGAATATGATGCATTCACTTAAACACTTATTATTACATGCTGGAAGCTTTGAAATCTTGTTTGTTCTAAAAATTTTAGCTGTTGTCACTATAATGAGGAAAGGGCAGTAGAAAATATTATACTGATATGAAGTTATCCAGAAAAATGATTATCTCACTTCAAGCATCGATAACTATGCGCTACACAATGTTAAATCGTCGGATCTCCACTAGTCGTGATATTAAAATTTTAGTCAAATGATCCCATTAATACCGATAAGACGCTTTTTCGTTTATTTTGTAATAATGAAGTTACACGTCACTACATAAGTTAAGCACTTACAATTACAAGACTGCCATAATCATAAAGGTATCCTGACAGTTACCTGGATATATATATATATATATATATATATATATATATATATATATATATATATGAAAAAATAAGCCGAATGATGACAGGAGATAAATTTTATGCGCCAATGAATTCCGAATTATTGACTGAATGGACTGAACGTATTCACCTCATAATTTAAAGGCACAGGTGTAAACCCTGAAGTATCCATGCATGTGCACTACTAGAGTGCTCAAAAGCAGGACGAAAAAGTCGTCTTTTGCCCAATGATTTCCGACGATTCTTTAACCGACTTTTCAGTTCTCAATGGAATCTACCTTGATGAAACAACTGTTATGAAAATGTGCAGATAGAACACTAAAATAAAACTGAGGAACTAGACAAAGTGTTGTCAGATTCGACTTAACAGTTATCGGCAGGTTTATATTTGATAATCACAACAGCATTTGTTGAATATAAGACAGGAACTGGGTCCCCAATTTGCAACAGATACAAAAATATTGTAACGAAAACCATGCATTAGTACTTTCGTGAATGTACCTCGGTCTTTTTGAAAAAATGACTGAAGAACAACTATTCTGAAGCTAACTAAACTCTTGTATAAAATATGAAGAAAAGATACACTCGTAAGTTGAAATCCATACACTGTGCAATGGTCGGTAAGGTAATATAGACCACATGAAGTTACAGACGAGTTTAAATACATAGATATAACTGAATTGAGACGAAAAGAGCATTAGTGTTGTGCAACAACGGAGTAGAGAAGTCAACTCTTTGCAGCTGAACACACAAACAGGATGTGTAGAGTGATTTCTGGAGTTGTGTCGGTATGAAGGCATTACTGGTGCCGGAGAGACCCCCACGTAGTAAGTAGGAATGAACAGTTTTCGGGGTCGAATTTCGCCGATTCTCCCTTCCCAGAGAAGAAAGTGGGTTTAGAACGAATAAGAGAAAACCATGATTGGGATTCTGTTGGGTCAACCACCGTTTCTCCGAAATATTCTGTGAATCAAGACCATACAATTATATTTTTTAGCCCAGAATATTTTACTAGATATTAAGCAAATATTAAATAATTCTCTAGCTTTACCAACATATATTTAATAAAGGAAAGGTAATATTCGATAAACAGTTATGAAGTGAATTCATACGATACACAGCATAGTAAAATAAAAAATACAATTAGTTGTTAGCATTTACCTGATGAACAGCCAAATTGCAAACATCACAAAATAATATCACATTTGTATTTTCACAAGTTCCATCTTGACATACAGAGCATACAGCATCTTCATCAATACCTGATTGATTTCCACCGATATCAGGTAATATATCAGTTGTCTCGCAACCATCATTAGATGAAAACAATCTGAATCTGGCCTTCTTTTCAAATCTATCCATAATCCATTCTAAAGTGGACTCAGTAACAGGTGATAGGGATGCACTTTTACGCTTAGCATTGATTCTTTCAAGCCAAAAAAGATCCTAAGTTGGAAGTCAAAAAATTAGTATTATTCAGAGAATGAAAAAGTAAAATTTCTAGACATCAAAATACCTTTAACTGTATGCAGACTGAATTTTAAATGTAGAACTTTGTTAAGAAATGCAACAGTTCAACTTGCCACACACTTCAAGAAAACAAACATATGCGTAGGAAAAGAAAGAGAACAAATGCAAAGAATTTATAAGAGACTAGGATTTGCAGATGGAAGAATAATCATATAAAGAACAAAGAGGATTTAGTGAGTCTAGGAGATCCAAAAAGATTGAACGTATTTGGCGCCATTGAGACAGACTCTGAGCCAAGGGTCTCCAGTTAGAGGTTTTCTACATCTCGAGTACTCAAATCTACATCTTCCTACATTGTTTTAATCAACAAAGACTCCAAAGATTGATGTTATATTTGATTTTACCACATTTAAATCCTCTTTTCTAAATTAATCTTACATCAGCTAACATAAGTGTATTCACGGAATGAATTTCAATTTCGCATAATAGGGAAATATGAATGAAATTCTGTTTACACATTGAGGTGGTTAGTAGTCGGTTTAAGCGACCACGGGGTCATTGGTTCAAACCTCGCCCCATCCACTGAGGTTTCAGCAGCCAGGTAGTATCACAGCCCTCAGAAAACAGGAGTGGCCCATTTCCAGCTAAATGAAAATGGAAGTAGTTGATTGGTTTATACACTTATATTATGTGATACACCAACGCCTCTTATATTCCATACTTACTTTAGAAAAATAAGGTTTGTTCGTGCGGTTCGAAATTGCTTAGTAAAATCCTCATTTATCAAATGGGATGCTTCATACGTCCGACACCTAACTAAGTGATTTTAACTCAATATTTTTGTTCACATCTTATTTGTTTCCCAACAATTCTGTAATCAATTACGTTATCCTATAATTTATGCGCCTCAACATGTTGCTGCTACCTCTGATCCCCAGTTTCCTTCGAGAAACTAAATCACATAACATGTAGAATTTAAACAATACTTTTATATTTTACCGACTTAAGATTTTGAGTCATCTCTTTTTTCTATTTGTTTTTTTTTATTTTTTATTGCAGCTTGATTCTACACTGTATTTTTGGTACAAGTATGGAATTTTCAGCATGGATATCAGTAGCCCAAATTTTTCAGGCCGACCATAGATATGAGGTGTGCGTCGGCAGGGGATTGAACCTCGGACCATGTGCATGGTCGGCGGGAGCCCTAACCACTGTGCCACCGACGCACATCTATTCACCATGATTATTCTTAATTAATTATTGTTCAATATTTTTGAAAAATGAACCAGAGTATTTTAGAACTGTTATAAAATTGTGAACTTTCAAGACTAAGCTAAAAGAAAACTGACAGGATACAGGTGAAATAAAACCAGTGCATATTTTCTTTCATCTTAAGTTACCATTTCTTCGTAAAAATTTATTCAGGGGAATTAGTCATCGAGTTAAACAAATCTAGTAATGAAATGTACAAACAGTTTCTACGTACATACAAATAAATTGGACAGGGAAATAATTAAGCGAAGAGAAGACATAATATTGCCATCACACAACAGAAACCTGTCAAAAAAGTGGTGTCAGAGTGAAAATTAATCGCCGCAATAATTTCGTTTTATTAAAAAACTTCTGCATGATGCAACAGATTGACATTTTCGTTTTCAAATCTCTCAATAATTTCTTTATAACTTGTTTATTTTCCGCAGTTAGATAAAACTAATATTTGTCTTCCTTTAAAGCCGAAATTGTCAAAATGATACAAGGATATATATATATATATATATATATAGTCTGGGTTAAGTTTAAGTTTGTAAATGTGTAATGTTGTAAAAGGACATCCTAGAAAATGTAATTTTCTACACTTAAATTTCTTTTCACGACATATTAACTCAAAGACAAAATATTTTATGTGCTTTTGTTTTCCCGTTGATTGATTGAAAACTAAAATGTTTGGCTCCAGGTACAGACGCCCCAACGATTTCTGAGGCATAACAATGGTGTTATTTGGTGGATAGTGACTAGCAATAGAATCCAGGGCGCGCATTTCGCCATTTCGAACATGTCATCGGAATGCACTTGCATTCCCCCACTGAGTGATGTTATTCTCACCAAGTCTCAAACCGAATCCCAAACGCCAAAGAGTTATCTACTAGACAACCTGGGCAACGGGAATAGGTTGATATTTTGCTTAGATCAATTTTTGTTGTCATTTAGTCAAGGAGAAAGGAGAAAAATTGAGTTAAGCAAGATATTTACTAATCCCCGTTGAACAAGTGTTGGCTCTTGTCGACCAAGTTGCCAAGTGGATAACGCTTTGGCATTTGAAACGAAGGGGACTGGGTTTGAGGCTTGGTGGGAATAACATCAATCAACGGGGAATGCAGGTGCATCCGGATGACGTGTTCGAAATAGGATGAAATGCGCATTCTGGATTCTACTGGTAGTAACAAGAAACATATTGGATTGGGATGTAAGAATAAAAACTGGCATAAACACAAACTTATAAATACGCCACCGAAAAATTGGAGAAAAACTTACCTCTTCATCTAAATCATACTCAACGACTTCGTCCAGTTCATCAGCTGTTTTTTCAATGAAACGAATATAACCCGAATTTTCTCTCAAGCTGATGGGTTTACGAACAGAGAACTCTGGATCGATTGAATAGACTGCCTTCGGTGTTTCTATATCATTTGTTGTGGCACCATTTGTAAGAACAATACTTTTATCTGATGGCTCAGTTCCACTGTTTTCTGAAAACTTTCCTATGACTGAAACAGCTCTGTTGTTCTTAATGCGACCTTTGTTTTTAAGGCTCGACATTTTAGAACGATTTGATGGATACTTTTTATTAACAGAAGTGCCTTCCAGAGTGGAATCTTGTTCCCCTCTCGGGTCTGACGTATTCTGCAGGCGAATAGTTAAGGGGACATATATATTACACCGAAATGTGCGGCCTCTGGTAGTGGAAGAAGCATCGAAAACCACTGAGGTATGAGCGTCAGTAAAAACCATGGGTGTCCTGGCTTTTTGGTGACCAGAATTTTCAACAGAACCACCGAACATCAGGGATATTTTCCCAACCTGGTCCGAGGTACCGTTCAATGAGGGCGTACATTTGAAATCTCCATAACCGTCACCATATTCTAGCGGTCCAGGAATGTCTATTGGAGCAGGAGGGCGATGGATCAGCATATGTTTCTGCATATAACTGTATGACTTGCAAACTTTCTGACATGTTTCGGATGGACATACGAAAGGAGGTTTGTTACCCTGAATTCTAGAGAGGAAGTCATCGATATCGAAATCAACCGGATGATAGACCATCTAAATCGAAAGGGAAACAGTAGACATGCAAAATTTTGTAATAAATTAGTAAATAATAGGTACAACTCCATATTTCATTTACGAAAACGACATAACAAGACACCTATATAATAGGATAAATATAAATAAATATAAGTGGGATAAAACTTAATAAGTAAATACAAACAGCACAGTCCAACAGCTTAAATATATACGATCACCAAATAGTGAACATTATGCTATGATGACAAACTCTAGGTAGGACAAAGTCTAGATGTAACGTACTGATATAGTTAAGATGAAATATTGTGAAGACAAAATCTCGGTCAAACTAATAAAATTGCCTATCACGGTTCTGAGATGTCTGTAGGGCCATAGGCTAAATAGGTGGGACTGTCTTAGTGTTACACTCAATAGTCGCTCACATTATATAATACAACAATGTGGTTGCACAGATAAATGACTAATCCTAATGGGAATCCTATTTTGTAAACACTTACTGAATGCCATTTTCTAGGGGTGTTTTTCTCGTATCACATACTTTTAACTTGACATTACGTACTAATTTACAAGAAATATTTGCGATTCATCGCATTTTTTCATTTATATTTTGGATGACAACGCACCAATCCAAGTCACCACCATATAGGAGGTAGGTCATATGCCTAATCACATAGAAAAAACATTAGGAAACTTGCCCTCATAGTTATTATTTTGACAACTAACAAGCGACCCTGAAGTACTTACGACAGTTAACTCTATATCTGTAACAACAGGAGGCAAGACATGGAAGCCAAGTTATCTATCTCATTAATCACACTGCTGTTTGTATATATACAGTTTATATTGTGTAACCAATCACTGTGCGTGTGATTTTGGTTTACACTAAGCGACATGAAACAGAATGTTCAAATATACATAGTATTCTGTTGCTGATACCGTATTGAACTGTGGGAATATGTGAGAATCATATTCCGTTGGAACACATTATCTGTATCACACCACCACATATTACGCTGAGATTCGAAAGGTAAGTTCCCAAGTTGGTTAGCACGATTTTAACAAAAGTCATTCACTAGCGACACCTTAATTATAGATTAGATCTACCTTTAACCATTACCCTTCGGCAATCAGTTGGTTGACAAAAAAATAAGCTAGTAAAAAAATAACGAAAACATAATTGGTTTACAATAACCAATTGTCAAAAATAAACCACATCAGTCATTAAAAGGGGAAATTCAGCCAAATATCTGATAATCTATTGATAATGAGCCATCAGCAACGTCTTAAAGCCTGTTGGTTCCAGAATAAGCAAAATATCAACGTACAACCAGGAAAGTAAATAACTACATTGGCTGAATGTCTGGATATCTTTAAAACGGGAGATTATGAATGAGATTCGCAGTCTAGCGTTCGAAATAACACCATGTTAAAAGGGAAAACCAGGAGGATAACGCAACCGACAGCGGTCACCTAGTACTACTGTGGAGAGAATTAAAATGTAGAAAAAAAATTCCTAAATTTAGACATTTAGAAAAAGCAGAAAGATTGGATTAAAATGGACAAAAGCGATGAAACTCCGTCCGCGGGTAAGCGGAGTGAATTTCCACCCCTAAAAAAGATGGGAATATAGTGGCTAAACACACCTGCATAGCATAAACACTTAATAAGGAACTCCAGATTGTGAAAACCAGAGTTTGAAAAGAAAATCAATCACTTACTTCTACAGACGGAGTTGCTAGTCAAACATTTGGACACAAATGGCAGAGTGAAACTTTCACTAGCTTGCAAGAACTATTTCCTCATTTCCTAAAGATAGTTTATTCTGTTTCCGTTCGAAATACTTCTTGTTTTGTTACTATAATCAATTTAAGGATTTTAGCTATTCGTGTGCAAAACGATCATAGTTAGAGTAAAAATCACATGTAACATGTAATATGATAATCGAAGAAGTTAAAGGGATTCTTCTTATCGTTAAAAATCTGCAATTAAGCACACAAAACGGAAATATCAAGTTCACATTATGTACATATGACGTTGAAAACATTCACTCTATTTGACTCACATGTCAAACGTAATGATAATGACTTCCGTTATAAATTTAATAACTATGACACCATGAAACAATTACAACTAACCTTTTAAAATGTAAAGAACCATATGTTCATAAAGTACCGCTTCTGTTTGCAAAAAGCGCCTTGAGGAAGAGTGGGAGAAACCATTAAAAAAAATTTACATGTAAAAGTTACTCTTTCACAAAGCGCTGAATTTACTGCTAAATTTCCGCAAGAAGAAAGAATATTTCCGACACTCCTTTTACAAAACAACGGACACCCATGAAACGAAAAACACTGGATTTTCATAGATGAATTTTTATGCTAATCTCAAAAACTTAAAAATCACGAGGGCAACCATATGACATGAATAGCAGGAAGGGTTAATGACTGTATTATTCTGAGTAGAACATGGGACTTAAGAAACGCATTTCCATCCCACACTGTTCCTTACAGTCTCTATTTAGTTCACTCCAAAAAGTGCCATTAATCTTTGATCTCCTCCTCATACGGTCTTCCTACACGAAACCCTAACTAGTCGTTTCCCATCCGCATTCCAATCGAGGCTAGCTGTTCGTGTAATGTCACCAAATGGTCCGCCTGTCGTGCGTATTGTCCACAGCTATTTCTTTCTGCACACTTATTAGTAAGTTACCAACCTGTTCGTTGTTGGAGTTCCGGAGCGGAGAGTTAGGTGGCCATGAGTAACGTCGAGGTGATCTTCTGAAAATGGAAGTGGAAAATAAAACAGGTGTTTGTAGAATCATATGAAAATGATGGGAGGTAATGCAGTACAATGGAGATGTACTATTGAAGCAGAGTTCCTCTATGAACACAACGAACAAACAACAATCAAAACAAGAACTCACAGAATTAAAGATTGTGCAAACGCCTTTCCCTTCGAGGCTCCTTTGAATTGCTGGAAATCCAACCTCCCTGCATAATGGATTTTCTCATTTCCTCACAATGTCCTTTGTAACGGCCTCTGTATTCTGAAGTGCAATGTGCATAAATGGAAAGTAAGGTCGTAGTGCGGTTCATGCGCATAGATATCGCCTCCAAAGCATTCAAAAAAATTTCTCAAATGCTTCTGAATACAAAAATGATCCGTTACAAAGTAAGCATACTAAGTAAATACCATTTTGTGGCTTTAAACACTTGCATATTTATAAAACATGAATCACACGGTGAAACAGTAATATTTGCCAGATCACATTTCGAGCACAATGTTTGTTCATAGTCGTAACAACTGTAACTGCACAAATTCTTAACTTCCATTTCACAGTTTTCTTTATTTCTTCCCACTCATCGTAGGGACAGTAGAATTATTCAGGTGTCCGGGAAAGGTGTTGAATCACTCCCGTTACATGTATTTTCAGCTGATTCCATGAATAGAGCTTCCGTTATCGATCTCTTCCTTCGCCCCGTTATATTAGATGTTAGAACTCTCTTCTTATCCCAACCCATTGTGTGGTTGTGTATAACTGCGTGCAGTGCCATGGATGAATTATCATCCAAATTTCTTATCATATTAGAGATTTCGCTAAGTTCCTGAACTCCGTTAGTCTGACTGAGCCCGATCTACTGCCTTTACCTGTGTGTTTTACCTGGCCTGCAGAGTATTACATAAATCGGATTGTTTGCTCAACTCATTCAACAGGATGTTTTAACGGATACAGCTTTTTTCCAATTAAGTTTACGGGTTTCGAATGCCACTTTTATTCCTGCATTGTTAAGAATTTCGCGTAAGTTTTCCGAGGTTCCTTCTTTGTATGGAAGTACTACTGATGGGGTAAGTTCCTCATTGTTGATTTTGGCATCATTCGGTGTGTGTTTGTCATACATTTAGTTATTATCATTATCATCACTATCACTAACATATTTATTATATTTTACTCAAGTGTTGGTTTATAGGGATTTCATTGGTTACAGGATTTTCACCATGAGCTGACATTAGTCAGAGAACCATTGGAAAACATTTTCCTACAGACTTCCTGATCAGTTTACCAGGGCGATTATTACACCTTTCTCTCGCTCTCCTCATCTTCTTCCTTCGTTGGTTGTAGCTGTTGCTCTTGTGTGTCGGAGGTTTTTGATCAGCACACAACAAGGCAATACTATCCAGGGATGATCTCCCCAAGTTGTTTCCCGAGGATTGTGCATCGACCCATCCAAGTGTACCGCTGCTTCTCCATCCACCACTGCTGGATCTGTCGTCAGACAATCCACGGTAGAGAAACGGATGCAGGCGTTTCTCGACGTTACTCCGTCAGCCCACCACTTCATCCATATCCCCAACGCCCCATCTTGAGACGTTTTCGCTAGCGCTGATGCTGCTGATTTCAGCAGCACCAACTCAATGCGAACAAACTGGTGGATGTTTAACCTGTGTGCTTTGAACATATGATGGGCCCTCAGCATGCCCTACTTAGGCTTCTTGGCCGCCGATAACTGCCAGGAGAAAGTTCCCAGTAATACCTTCACACCCTCCAGCTATTGGCAGCTGTAGTTGACAATTATGTAACCTCAACCAGCGAAGATCATCTGGTATGCACACGATTTTTTGAAGGTATGTTGCCCGTGGACCTTCGCACAAATGTGCAACATCATCTCCCAACGAGCACGTTGAAGTTACAGCGAGTCATCCTTCGTTTCATGGACGCTGAGAGCGACTGCGCGTCCACATCCAGGAGTTCGCTATGGCCTTAACAACAGCGTCCAATGAAGCTGCTCTGATGCAGCTCGTCGTGACCATCCAAGAACCCAGCGGAGCCCGAATGGAGTGTCACCAGTCACTGTCACTATTGCCAACGTTACGGGAAGAAGGTCTGTAAATGTGGTCACAACCGCCGGTCAGGCCACAGTAAGTCCCTGGATTTCAATTTGTCTACATATTCCTGTAATCGGCAACCACTGATGTTATGGGAACGTATAAATGGAGTGCCATCTTAAGTGCCCTCGGACACTGGTGCGTCGGTACTTCTCGTGAAGACTTCCTTGATCTGACGTGTGCCTCAGTGTTCCTCCGTCGTAGCCACTCACAATGTCATGACAACAGCTAACGGTGCTAAACCGGAAGCCCAATCTGCTGCTGACTTACAGCCGAACCTTGGAGATTTGAATGTCCGCCACCAGTTTCTCACCTGTGCCCAGACTACATAGGGCCCCATCCTAGGTGCAAATTTTCCGACGTCACACCCCACCCTTACAAACATCGCCCATTCCCGGGTTACCACTGACTCTGTCTCCATACGCTTACATGGCCCTCGGCAACCGACGTCCTCTGAGTCAAATTTATCCTTGTCCACTATCTTTAATCAAAGTTCGGTCGATCCACCCGCCCCTGTTATCCTTCAAGGCTGAATGCTATGGTTAATTAGGGAATATACCAATGTAATTGATGGTGGGGGTAACCCGGGACTCACCGATGTTGTCCATCACTGTATTGATACAGGCAGTCATCCGCCTGTGTGCCAACCACCCCAACGTATCCCTGTACATTATCAGCCTCAGTTGGATGCTCTCATACAAGATGTGTTGAACAAAAGCATCACTGTGCCTTCATCTTCTCCATAGGCGTCACCCATCCTCTTAGTCAAGAAGAAGGACGGTGTTAAAGAACTTAACCCTGAGTTCCTATTATTTGCGAAGACGCTCCGAATCAATAACTACTACGATCAATTCTCCACTTCAACTCCAGAGCAGCAGTATTTGTATTAACTTATAATGTTCGGCAATTAAAATCGAAAATGATACAGTAGTCTATTAACAAATGTTTTACAATAAGCATACACTACTCTTATTCGTATTCTCTCGTCTTCCTACAACCTTTACACGATTGAATCATTCGCATCTTCGAGTTGCCCGCCAATGGCGACCACCGAACCAACGTTGAATGTTCACGTTCATTCACAGATGGCTCCTTGTGAATGCGTATTGATTACTGCAAACTGAATGCCGTAACCGGATGTGACGCTCTCCCTATCCCACGTATCTATGCAACTCCTGAAGCACTTGCTGTTTCATAATTGTTCTCTACGTAAGTTCTGACTTCAGAGTACTGGAAAGCAGAAGTGCAGCCGGATGATTGTCCGAAGACTGCATTAATAACCTCGAGTGGTCTCTACGAATTCCGCAAAATGACCTTCGGATTATGCC